TCAGGAATGTCGAGATACCATGTTGGGTGGCACGTAGGGAGGTCGAGCTTGAGAAATGAATACCCCAATAGTTGTCACTAAGAACGCGTACATGATTCCAGGTGTTTAATTTGTTTACCTTTCCCTCGAATATGATATGATAATTATTTAATTATTTGTTTCATTTGAAAGCAAACACATTTATGAATAAGGATTTATGTGTTATAAATAACGTACATTGTGAGTTCGTAATAGAATGCCTCACTTCGCTATGCAGAGTTACGTCCCTTAGGCACGCCAGAAACCTATGATGGTGGGTTCGAATCCCGGTTCGCCCCGATTATGTTTCTAGGTTTGTCAGCACCATACCCGTGCCCGTGGGTTTCATCGAAGTGGTAAACGTCTGAGACCTGCATCACTTCGGGCTTTCCTCCCACATCAAGCTGACACGCCGCGATATAACTGGAATACTGTTAAAAGCGGTGTTAAACCCAACTCACTCACTCACTCACGAACATATAATGTAGTGCACTTCGCAAATTCAAAATGCCTTTCACGTCTCTCTTGAATGGTTATGTCATTTACTGTTTAAAAATTGGCAACATTATTTCTTAGTACTAGTTGGTTTATAGTTTAGTACGATTCTTTTATCCTCAGTTGGTTTATATTTTAGTATGATTCTTTCATCAGTTGCTGTGGTTTTATTTTAGTATGATTCTTTAATCCGTTGCTGTTGTTTTATTTTAGTATGATTCTTTAATCCGTTGCTGTTGTTTTATTTTAGTATGATTCTTCAATCCGTTGCTGTTGTTTTATTTTAGTATGATTCTTTAATCCGTTGCTGCTGTTTTATTTAGTATGATTCTTTAATCCGTTGCTGTTGTTTTATTTAGTATGATTCTTTAATCCGTTGCTGTTGTTTTATTTAGTATGATTCTTTAATATATCTTTTAAAACATAAGTTGGATTATATTATATTTTCATTCGTTTGGGAGGGGACGCGGTGGGATAGCCCCATAATTATAACGTTTACTCTTTAAGTCCAGGACCCGGGTTCGATTCTCCACATGGGTACAACGTGTGAGGCCATTTCGGGTGTCCCACGCAGTGATATTGCCGGAATATTGCTAAAGGCGGCGTAAAACTATACTCATTCACCCATCCTTAGTTGGGTTTTAGTTAAGTATGATTCTTTAATCCTTGGTTGGTTTTTGCTTTGGTATGGTTCTCACCTTATGAACCTTCATGGGTTCACATTGTAATTGTTACTTTAACATAGTTCTCACGTGGACTTTGCTATGTACACACTATAGATCAAAGTAACGTAACGGGGACCCCCGGGATATATCGGGAGAACCCAACTACGTGACCCCGTAAATATTACCAGTTACCCAGGCGAAACGAAGCGGACATTATGGCTTGGATGGGAAATCAAGTGTATGTGTCATTTGGCAATAAATCGGGTCGATTTCAATTACTGAGTAGCGGATATGTAGTAAAATGTCCGTGCATGCAGTTGAGGAAATGAAAAGAGTTTCGTCAATGAAAATGTGTAACCGTGGGAAATGGAGTCGACAAAGGAATGTTGATGTGAAACTTACTGCGTACTTTAAAAACCACAAATATCAGATAAATCCTGACTATAGTTTAATGAACTATCAAGAAACTATTCCCTGACAGTTATGAGAATGATATGCCCCATGGCCAAAGGATCCGTGAGAACATGTGAAACCGAGAACCATCTTCCTGAGGCAAGGGAGTGAACTGACTGTAACTAGAATGGAATTTCTGGGCTCGATCGTAGCGCGCGCGCGTGTGTGTGTGTGTGTGTGTGTGTGTGCGTGCGTGCGTGTGTGCGTGTGTGTATGTGTGTGTACCACGCAAATGAAGTTAAAGAACATGCGATGTTTTCATATGACTAAAGTTTATCTGTCATATTATGTCATAGCTTCTTTTGGGTATTATATGTTACTCGTAAAATAAATGGCAACACCCATTTTGTCCGTCATCACACAGTGAGTGAGTGAGTGAGATGGGTTTAACGCCGCTTTTAACAGTATTCCGGTTATATCACGGCGTGTCAGCTTAAAGTGGGAGGAAACCCCGAAGTGATGCAGGTCTCCGACGTTTACCACTTCGGTGAAACCCACGAGCATGGGTATGGTGCTGACAAACCTAGAATCATAATTGGGGAGAACCGGGATTCGAACCCACAATCATAGGTTTCTGGCGTGCCCAAGGGACGCAACTCTGCACAGCGAATCGCGGCGCCTTAGACTACTGGCCACCCGTGCCCCCTCATCACACCGAGTCCGCGGGACGCGGGGCAATGCTGGTCCCTGTAGTGATTGTATTTTTAATGTAGAGGATTGACTGATTTAGATGAAACTCTTTACCTAGCCTCAGATTTCATCAAAAGATTTAAGTGCAGTTCAAATCCGCCCTGTCGAAATACACTTTCAATAAAAAAAATTAAATCACGAAAAGGATAAAGTAGGTTGTCAAATCATATTGAAAGTCTATCCTCTTTCCACAAGTGATATTAATGAAACACCCAATACACAAACTATTCTAGCCCTCATCATTTAATTAATGTCATCATTAATCCGATTTAAAAATAACATAACATTTAAAAAAATTAAAGCAGAAATTCTGCAGTTTACACATATTCGACAGAGGAAGCGATTTAGTTCGACTATCCCGGCCGTGGTCGAGGCGTTGTTATTGAATATTTGGGTTACTATGGCAACCATTAACTGTAACATTGATGTGTATTATAAATAAGTTAGCAAACGAACAAAGTGGCTTTGGAATAATTACTATCAAACTTGGTAAGATCGGGGAGCCTTGTCGTAAGAGACGACTAACGAGATCGGGTTGTCAGGCTTTGTTGATGCATGTCATTGATTTCCAATAGCGTGGATCGATGCTCATGATGTCAATCACTGGCTTGTCTGGTCAAGACTCTAGTATTTTCAGACCGCCATCATATAGCTGGAATATTGCGTTAAACAACAAACGAACGAACGAACGACTAGATCATGTAAACGACGAACAGTTTCTTTGGTGTTAATACATGTTTGCATAGAAATATCTATGTCAGCTCTTGTCACTTCAAAGACCGCCTCCGTGGTCTAAAGGTCCTGGGTTCGATCCCCGACCGCGTCAAACCAAAATACGTTTAAAGATAGTACTTGCTGTTACCCTGTCTGGCTCTTGGCATTAAGGGGCTAAACCAAGGACTGGCCGGCTCGGAGTCAGTATACTGTGTCTTAGTGGGGTATTCATGTTAAACTGCGGCATGGTATCTCAGTGTGCTAGTACTATAAATCGGCATCAGTCCGGACTAGTACAAGCAGTCACGCATACACGCACACGTACATGCACGTCGCTATATAAGTGCAATAATCTTGGACCCGACGTTAAACCCAATTTCACCTCACCTCACCTCACCTCACCTCACCTCACCTCACCTCACCTCACCTCACCTCGTATCCCAATTGCGTGGATCGGTGCTCATGATGTCAATCACTGGCTTGTCTGGTCCAGACTCGATTTTTTACAGACCGCCGTCATATAGCTGGACTATTGCGTTAAACAACAAACAAACGAACGAACGACTAGATCATGTAAACGATGAAAGTCTTTGGTGTTAATACATGTGACGATTGCATAGAAATATCTATGTCAACTCAGAATATTACACACTTCAAGCGTCAGTTCCAATCAACTTTCGTGTATGCACAAGTAATACCTCGTGTAAACAGACCAATCCGTACGTTTGTGTCGTCATGATGTGTCAATTTCAATCAAAATGCTTAACGTCATGATTTATATCTGTCACTGTGAGTCGTGTGACACTAAAGCATGCTGCAAGATGTACATGTCCCTGTCAGCTGGAGGTGTTTATGCACCTGTCACATCAAACATCAACCCTTGTTGAAACAATGATTGATCACCAAACCATCAACTGTGTGAAACAGTTTGGAGGCAAAGTTGTCTCTGTCGCCTAAGGCTGTGCAGAGGGTTCGAATCCAAGCTTAATCCTGATCGTGTTTTCAGCACCATACCTGAGCTCGTGGTTGTCACCTTAGGTGTCACATAAAGTCTAGGACCTGTAGCTTTCCTACTTTAAGTGAGGTTAGGTGAAATGGGGTTTAACGTCGCGTCCAAGATTATTGCACTTATATAGCGACGTGCATGGACGTGTGTGTGTGTGTGTGTTCACTGAGCTACCATACCGCAGTTTAACACGAATACCCCACTCAGACACAGTATACTGACTCCGAGCCGACTAGTCCTTGTTTTAGCCCCTTCATGCCGAGCGCCAGACAGGCTACTACAAGTACCATCTTTTAACGTCTTATAGTATGATTCGGCCGGGGATCGAACCATGGACTTTCCGCTCTCCGGGCAGACGCTCTACCACTAGACCACAAAGGCGGTCTTCCACTTTAAGTGACACTCCGTGATTTAACAAAAATAAAACTGAAAAATGGTTGTTAAACACAACTCACTCACATTAAACGACTTTTTGAAATGGTCAAATGAAACAAATGTTCTATTTTGGATAACACTTTCTTAGTAAAGTACAGATTCTCGTACTTTTGTAGGTTGAGTCCCATCGGGGATTTGAACACACACTGCCAGAGTGATGTTCCTAATCGCCAGCACACAAAGATCTAACCCACTCAGCCACCGAGGCTTCCACAAATATGAAAGTCCGACAATTTGTACTCTAGATCACGTACTTTGTGTACCCCTCTGACAAGTGTTAATTGGCACGGCTCCCGTGGCCAAAAGCCATGAACACACAATGCCATTTAGAAAGTGGTCAAATGTAACAAATGTTATATTTGGGGTGGTGCGGGTTCGAATCCCGGATGAAACTCAATGGGACTCAACCTAAAAAAGTACGAGAATCTGTACTTTCACTAAGAAAGTCTTATCCCGAATATAACATTTGTTACGTTATACTCAAACAGAGTCAGTCATAACGAAACCACTCATTCTCTTTACAGGTCAGCTGTCTCCAAATGAAAGGGCTTACGTGTCGGGGCAACAAGGCAATACTTATATGTCTTATGACGTCACGAATGAACATTCGCCACAGCCATCGCCGCAACCTCTGGCCGTCACTGATTGGCCAATGAGGCCATATCCCGACCAATCACAGGAGCCAGTTTGGGTGGTGCCGCCCTATAGGGAACCAATCATCATGGGGTATGGCCCAATGTGGGTGTCGCCTGATGGATTAATGACGAAGCTGTATGAAGATGATTGGTCGGGGAGAAAACCGAGACGGGTAAATAATACTTATTTTGTTTGTTTGTCTGTTTGTTCAACGCCTCGATCAGCAATATTCCAGCTATATGATTGCGGTCTGTACATAATCGAGTCTGGACCAGACAGTCCAGTGATTGACATCATGAGCGTCGATCAACGCAATTGGGATACGATGACATGCATCAACCAAGTCAGCGAGCCTAACCACCCGATCCCGTTAGTCACCTCTAACGACAAGCACAGTCGCCTCTAAAGACACGCATCGGCCATGGCATGGGTTGGATCGGGTAATCAGGCGACTTGGTTCATGCATGACATCGTATCCCAATTACGTGGATCGATGCTCATTATGTCAATCATTGGATTGTCTGGTCCAGACTCAATTATTTACAGACCGCCGTCATATAGCTGGAACATTGCTGAGTGCGACGTTAAACTACAAACAAACAGACGAATCTTAAGATGAGTTTTCATACACTCTCATTATAATTAGATCTCTTACTCCAGGACGATATCTCTGATTTAAGATCTGAGGCCGCGTCAGGTATTCCTGCCTCCTAAATTACTTTTAAAGAATGAAATGACGAACCACCATCGCCATCCCCATCCCCATGCCCATCCCCATCACCATCACCATCTACATCCCCACTCCCTTCTTTTAAAACTATGCACCCTTCATGAAACGTCAGACATATCTAATTTATTTTTTGTTATGTCCAGGGCCGTCGGCGATACCTACGAGATATGGAATTAGATGACGACCCCCCACGATCGTGTGTACGCGAGGCTGTTGTCTATATCGGCGGATTCGTCGTGCTCGCTGTCGCCCTTGCTGCCATCATCGCGCTTGTCTACACACGCAACTCACAGTGACTCCTGCTGCACGTGCTTGTATATATCACCTGTCCATCATTGCCATTGGTGTCATTGTCAATTGCGCACCTGCCAATCATCGTTATGTTCAGATAGTTAATGTGACAAATTTGGACGTTCCTCTCTCGCTGACATTTTTAATATAATTAATCAATATATCTTTAGTTTGAAAACTACAGCCATGAATTTAAAGTCACGAATAGTATAATATTAATAAGTCAGGTGATAAAAGTCAGGTTATTAAAGACTTTTTTTAGGATACGACTAGCTTCGCTATGACAATTCTAAATAAAAAACATAATACGTTATTATTTATTCTAATTGATAATGTATAATCTGACATGGCAAATAGCCATAACATATTTTTTCCATTAAATACGCTGTTCATTTTGTCATTGCAAGAGGGAAATTGTGTTGTGTGAGATCGTCACGGTTGAATGAATAGGAAAAGACTGTGGTAGGCAACTCATTGCTGCTACATTGCAGTATATGGGGTTTTCAATAGCCTCTGCCCATATGCATAAAATCGAGATTGGTGGTGTGTATGACATGTCAATTTCAAGTGCCTCGACTCCAGCAAGTCAGAGATGAACGCCTAAATACATGTTGGTGCAGATAGAACGTTAACATTCAGCAGTGAAATCAGCTATTTGTAAAAGACGCAATTTATTGTAATTTGATTCCCCTGAATGACCGACCAGGCAGAACCGAATATCCCACATAAGTCATAGGCTGCAACTAATTTCAAATGCACACAGAAACAAAATCATTTATTGTGCTTGAATTTTGTATGTCGATTTTGTGTGTGTGTTTCAAGGGGTTTAAACTAATTTAAATTTGACTTGTCAGCAAATATCTGAAGTCCGAACAATCCCTTGTACAAGCGACAAGTTAAGACCTATATCTTAAACTGGCTGATGCTGTCAGAACCAAACTATTGCATGGATAACATTTACCTATTGTTGGTCTTTGAGCATTTATGTGTGTGGAGATAAGCGCTGTACAAGCAACCTCACTGTTATGAAACAAACAGCATAGTGAAACCTCATAACGTGAAGACTTCTGGAAACTACAGAATGCATCGAGTTATGCGTAGTTCGGGACAAGCTGTGTACTGTTTTAGCTTGTAATTATTCTATCAGACGTCTAAAATTACATCGTCTTATACAGGATTTCAACTTAACGAGGTTTTGATGTGGCTGTTAATGTTATGTAAATTATTTAAATGTCGGTCGTTACGACAGTGTACGTTATGTTTTAAAACCTGTGAAGATCCTGGTTAGAACTGGTCTTCAACATCCCATGCTTGTCGTAAGAGGCGACAAACGGGATCGGATAGTCAGACTCACTGTCTTAGTTGACGCATGTCATCGTATCCCAATCGTGTAGATCGATGCTCATGATGTCAATCACTGGATTGTTTGGTTCTGACTCGATTATTTGCATACCGCCGTCATATAGCTGGAATATTGCGGCGTTAAACAACTAACAAACAAAACAGGTCTTCTGACTAAGATCAACTCACCACATTTGCAGGACTTATATCAACGTGTTTTTTTATTACAGTAAACTGTCGCTTTTCATTCTGAATATATTCATACATATTCCAAGTTATTGAAAAGCGTATGTGTATGAGTGGTATCAGCATCAGGTGTTGTTGAGGACAGTAGAAAACCACATGTTCCCGTTGTACATCATGAATAAATATTTATACTTTGTTTGTGTTGTTGTCAATCATTTGGTGTTTGTAGAATACATTGAAAGTTTTCTATGCTAATATATCCTGTTGTAACTGTTTACTACGTGTTTGATCATAATTATATTTGCACGTGAAATTGTTAACTGTTTTGTTGGCATTCTGGAAGTTGGTAAGTAAGTAAGAAAACGTACAACTTTATGGATAACAACTTCTGGTTGTATATAGCGACGTTTTGATGTAGATTTTTACATCGTTATAAAGCTGGCGTGACAACCAAGTGATGAGCGGTATATATGCATGACATGTTGTGATAAGCAACAGGTTAACATTGACAACATCAGCATATAGTTAAGAAGTAGCATACAGATATTTGAATGAAGCTAAATGTACAATAAGAATAACAAATAGCACACAGGTAATGAAGCCAGATGTACAGTAAGGATAACAAATAGCACACAGGTAATGAAGCCAGATGTACAGTAAGGATAACAAACAGCACACAGGTAATGAAGCAAGATCAGATGTACAGTTAGGATAACAAATAGCACAAGGTAATGAAGCCAGATCAGATGTACAGTTAGGATATGTATTACACAGTTGTGACAAGCTGATTTGATCTTAATTAAACATATCATGCATATATGTCTCTCATATGTCTCGTTAGTCGCCCCTTCAAAGGTGACGTTTTTGATATTTGGTACCGTGGGGTATGTTGGACCTTACGTTTGCAGTATTTTTTCGCTGTTTTCATCCTTCTAATGTTTTGATAACGATTGTAATTGTTTGGTCAAATCCCTGCGGTTTAGTTACAAGTGATGTACAAAATGCATGTCTATATGTTCACGGAAAAGCAACTTTATGTTTCTTGTGTGGCATATTTCCTTACTATTTACAAATTTTAGGAAATAGCATTAAATGTAATTGGATATATAGTCTCTATTATTTACCACTTCCAATTCTATTGATTGAATTTAAATCGTTTCCATGGTGATGTAGACATTACAAGTGTAGTATGACACAATGCACGTATGACACCTTTTAAAGCGGGGATTCGCTAGGAGGAGTTGCGTCCCTTAGGCACGCCAGAAACCTGTGATTGTGGGTTCGAATCCAGGTTCGCCCTGATTGTATTCGTAGGTTTGTCAGCACCATACCCGTGCTCGTGGGTTTCACCGAAGTGGTAAACGCCTAAGACCTGCATCACTTCGGGCTTTCCTCCCACATTAAACTGACACGCCGTGATATAACTGGAATACTGTTTAAAGAGGCATTCAAACCAAATCACTTACTCACTCAGTCTGAAGCAATTGTTTAATTGAGATATCCTAATTTTCAGGTTAGATCAAATATATTTTATAATTTATCATACATGTTGAAGATTGTATCACATTTCTATATACTATATGATGGAACAGGTTCAACTTTATGAACTGGATGTGAACCAAACGAAAACCAATCCATGTCAGCTTTCAACTGCGATACCAAAGAAGCCCCGACCGAGCATTTAAAATATCATGTGTCAATTTCACTAACCTTTGTCGTGCCATTTCCAAAATATGTGTACCTCATGGCCGAAATTAACGACTTCAAATCAATCCCCAATACATCACTATCAAACACTGCTTTGACATTTGCATCGCATTTTTTCTAAGCAGTATTAGCTTAACGGGCGAGAACGCCATTCACCGAACTCCGATCAAACAGGGTGTCGCTATTAACAAACACTGGTGCGGAGTACAGTCATGACAGTCGTCACGGGTGACTCGGTCAAAAGACGCTCATGCAGAAACACGTAGCTTCTGTGTTATGATAACAAGTATACATCCACCCGAATGTTGTGATCACGTGACGACCTTGTGACGTGGACCGAGGTCACATCGTTGTCACCCCGTCATTGAAGACAGCGACGACGACCAAGGAGCACGTTGACGGCGAAATGAACAGTGTTTTCTGTATTTAAGGTGAGCTATATATTACCGATGACAGTCCCTGCAAACAAATAGCATTAGGAACGTGTTTTTCTACGAAAAGATAACAAACCTCGTCTTGCTCTAAAGGTTCAATATACATATATGTAAATCAAAATTGTTTGTATACTTGTACAACGGCTTATTCCCATGTTAGATGTTGATGGTGTAAACACTCATTTCATTGTGTCTTTCTGTAATTTTAGAAAGGTGGATAATTATGTCAAGTTATCTTTATCAAAACTGATAGAAACAGCTTGTGGCATTGGGTATCATTGAATAAAACTATCGGACGAATGACTTTGTATTGTTAAGTGGACAATATCTTTATATAAATTAAAGTACCTCCATAGTTTATCGATTATATTTCTCGAGTGACTATCATCTCTGTACATGGAGGGGTATAACACAGTTAACGCTCTTTAAAGACCCGTGAAGATGCATGTTAGAATAGGTCTTCAGCAACCCATGCTTGCCGTAAAAGTCGACTATGCTTGTCGTAAGAGGCGACTAACGGGATCGGGTGGTCAGGTTCGCTGGCTTGGTTGATGCATGTCATCGTATCTCAATTGCGTAGTACGATGTTCATGATATCAATCACTGGATTGTCTGGTCGAGACTCGATTATTTACAGGCCACCACCATTTTGCTGGAGTATTGCTGAGTGCGACGTTAAACAACAAACAAACAAACAAACAACACTCTTTAAAATACGAACTTTTTTAAAAGACAGTGGAAATACGTCCCTTTATGAGTCTGATAGTTAATTATACTGAGGTGACAATCCAGAGTTGAAGCAGGTGACATAATATATATACCTGATCTCAACAACAAAACATTCTCATCTCTACAAAAAAAAATACCCGTCATCTCAACAAACATATAGTTCAACCAATTTAGCCCGATCTCAACAAACGTGTGCCTGATATCAACAAGTATATCCTTGATCTCAACAAATATTCCTCGAGTAGCTGCCCAGCTGTATATACCTGAGATACACAGACGGTGGCAGCGACCGTTACACCCCGCTAACATTTACTGTTACACGCATGATTCACACAAGGGACAATGCACAGTGTGCGTGGCATCGGCCCGTATCATTTAGGGTCAGCAGTGGGATGATCTGACTGAGATTGTAAACTTTTTTACATTTGTCTTTGGGTTTTACTTACTAAAATAATAACTAATTTCTTGGCGCTCGACATGCACGATATCCTGATTGTGTTTTTTTTAAAAACAGCCGTGTCCGAAAACATCTATAGTCTCGAACAAAAATCAAAGCAACCCCGTTCTTCCACACACGCACACACACACGCGCCGACACACACCCCCACACACCCACACACACACACACACACACACACACACACACACACACACACACACACACACACACACACACACTCTCATTTGCCAGGTCATATAGTTCATTTTGTTGAATCATGAAAAGAAAATGTTTTTTACTTCTTATCTATCCTGACAGAATAAAAATCCGTGTGTGCAAGATACGACTACATCCGTACTGGTTTTGTTTGTTTGTTGTTTTACGCCGCACTCAGCAATATTCCCGCTATATGACGGCGGTCTGTAAATAATCGAGTCTGGACCAGACAATCCAGTGATTGATATCATGAGCATCGATCCGCACAATTGGGATCGATGACATGTATCAACCAAGTCAGCAAGCCTGACAGCTCGATCCCGTTAGTCGCCTCATACGACAAGCATAGTCGCCTTTAACGGCAAGCATGGGTTGCTGAAGATCTTTTCTACCCGGGTCCTGATCTTCACGGGTCCCGCCGTAGTAGTCCAAACGCATATTCCTATCATATGTTGAGCGGTATGCGAGAAGCAATAGCATTAGGAGTTTCAGCATCGCGTGGATGTTAGTCATTTTGAGTTGTTGCTAAATCTATACCGCCTACAATCCTTGTACCCATGGTGATAATATTGCAGCCTCGCTTCCGTTTCTCGAAATGACGTCACATCCGGCGGACCACGACGAGGACTATCACGAATCCGTTTCTTTTCAAGCTCCTCGAGAATGGGCCACAGGTATGTCACGTGATATTGCTTGAAAGAAACCATTTGATATTTGACTGCCATACAGAAACGACAAAAGCAGTTCCATAAACACAAGAAATCACAGATTCCGACTTTATCATGGGCGTATGTTTATGATACCAGGTGTTCGCGAAAAGGTTAGCATATCCTGCCCCACCAGTGGCACAAGTCACAAACACATGGAAAGGCAAGTCAATTGTTCACACTTGAAAAACACGGGAACGTGTGATACAAATCAAAATAGCGAATACCTCGTGCATCAAGTTTGTCACTGATGCGTTACATTTGGAAATGTTCTCCCCATGTCTACCATAAAACCTTTTGAAAGCTTTACTGAGGTCATGAATGTTGTAACAATGATCAAACAACTTTTAAGCAGGAGTCGTATATATAATAGACGCTCTTTGAAATCTTCGCAGAATGAGCCTGCACGATTGTATCTTAGTTGTGAAATGTAGACACCAAAGGCTGGAGCTGCTAGACTTAAAGGGTAAATTGACTTTTGGAAAGCTGAAGTCATCCCTCTTGTCAGACAGTCGTGTGGAAAGTTTTTTGTCACTCTGAATGTTAACGCATAGATATGAATATGAAAAGGACCAGGCGGCATCACTGGTCTCCTTTATTCCTAGTCCAGGGCCCACTTGCACAAAGCGATCTTAGCGCTAAGACTGTCGTAAGCCTATGTTATAGTATGGGAGTTACGATCATCTTAGCGCTAAGATCGCTTTGTGAAAGTGGGCCCTGGTGGGTAAATCAGTGGAAGGGGGTTGGCTATTTGACCGACAAAACCAAAGTGAAGAAATATTTCGCATTTTCTTATTAATACTGGTCTCAGTTGGTCAACAGATATCAGCGAATATTACAAACTTTTAAATTACCTTTAGCGTGGTCATGTGTTGGTATATTATATTTGAATACAGTGATCTATATAAGGAATTAAATTCACGTTTCAGCATCCAGCAAAGCGCATCCTTCTTCCGCTGGACCACTTCCATGGCGATATACCCGCGCCCATTCCACACTCTCCGGGAACACTGCATGGAGCTTGAGGGTAACTATCCTTGACGTGATACATGTGATGCTCTTTTATTCTTTAATGCTCAAACTTCGTGTACCATTACACCACATGACAGATTTATCAAAAACCTTCATTCCTTGATCCATGGGGCTATAAATATAGTATCTGAACGTGGTGACCATTGAGGCAGTTGCATATTTATCTTCAAAGGCTCAGGACAATCTGTTAAAAGTGAAAGCTAATGACACTGACTTTACTGAGAAAACATTATGTGAAATGCTGGACTTCTTCATCGATAACATCTATGTTACATTTGGGGTTGTGGTATTTAGTGCTCTCTTTCATTTTCTTTATGCACATGAATAGGAATGTCTGACAAATACAATACACGGGAACTCGGCCAAGAAGTCTCACTTAAACTGCAGATAAAGTAAACTACGTTTTTAACGAACACGCTTATAACGAACTGACCGATATAACGAACTTACTTTTTAGTCCTGACCATTTGTTGTATATATGCTGTATGTATGCTTATAATGAACTACGGTTATTACGAACTAAAATTCGCGGTCCCCTCGAGTTCGTTATAACCGTAGTTTACTGTATATCGATTTTGTGATATCGATCAATAATGGTCAACCATTTTTCTTCCACTGATTTACCCTCCTTAACTAGAAATAAAAGACCAGTGATGCCGCCCTATCGGTTTTATGTTTAAATAAATTTATATCCTTTTATTGCTACATGCAATTGGACCCGTGAAGATCCGGGGTAGAATAGATCTTCAGCAACCCATGCTTGCCGTAAAAGGCGACTATGTTTGTCGTAAAAGGTGACTAACGGGATCGGGTGGTCAGGCTCGCTAACTTTGTTGATGCATGTCATCGATCCCAATTGCGTGGATCGATGTTCATGATATTAATCACTGGATTGTCTTGTCCAGACTCGATTATTTACAGACCGCCGTCATATAGCTGGAATATTTCTGAATGCGGCGTAAAACAACCAACCAACCAACCAACATGCAATTGATATGGTTATTCCCCCCTACAGTCTTTGGTTATAGGTTTGAGCTTTAAAAATGCATGAAAACGGAGACGAATCATTCAAAATGTTCCTCGTGTTTAATGCCTGGGGCATACGTGTAGCTTCTTTTTTAACACTGTGAAACACGTTTTGTAAATACCGTTTGCATTAGGTTTTCCTAGATTTCAGCAGCTAACCTCACCATAGAAGATTACGATTGTACACGGTTGTATAAGTATATTCAAAGACAACAATTACCGTTATCATATCAGTTTATTATAAATAATGATTGCATGGAGAGTAGGACTTCACAGATTAAACAATTTTCTAACAGATCAGACCAGGGCCCCATTATAACAAAGCGGCCTTAGCTCGACGACAGTGGTAAATACATCTTAAGGAAAATTAGGTATGATAGTTGTAGCTCCACGATCGCTTTGTGAAACGGTCAGGTAGCTTGACGCCATAAAATATGTATAACGGTAATGATGGTAGTTACAAATCAAACTTTTATTCCAAATATCTCCTAACTGCTGTGTACATGGGTAATGACAGGAAACTATGGGCCATGTGGCCTGAATTACGAAATAAACTTGATTGACGATTGAGTAAACAGGACCCGTGAAGATCCGTGATAGAATAGGTCTTCAGCAGCCCATGCTTGTCGTAAAAGGCGACTATGCTTGTCGTAAGAGGCGACTAACGGGATCGGGTGGTCAGGTTCGCTGACTTGGTTGATGCATGTCCTCGTATCCCAATTGCGTGGGTCGATGCTCATGATGTCAATCAGTGGATTGTCTGGTCCAGACTCGATTATTCACAGACCGCCGCTATATAGCTGGATCATTGTTGAGTGCGGCGTTAAACAACAAATACACAAACAAAGAAAGAATAGAGTAAACAGATATAACCATGATTTATGTAAATAACACTTGACAGCTGGAACTATAATTTGAAATTCATAATCTTATTGTGATAAATACAAAATGTCCGGGGCCATATGAGCCTTATAAGCCAAAACACAGAGAATAATAAATTAATTTTGAGTTATGTGGTTCTGAAAACTCATAGGACGATAAATACAAAGACTATCACAGTTATTGTTATGTTTGGGAATAGTTCAGTAACACCGAGCCGTTAGCTGTACTTGTTTACGTGTGTTACTTGGCAACGAGTGTTCTGTCACTTGTAATGGATAGTTATTGACACTTGCCGGTCGGTGTTATTTTTTGCTTTGTTTAACAACCAGGCACTATGCCAAGTTAATTGTCCAATTGTCTCGTAAATTTGTAAAACAGCTGAGCCTCGCACCGCACAGCTACTTAAGCTGTGTTAAAGTCTAAATTTAACAAGTGTTTTAACAATTGTCTGTATTGACTATAACATATATTATGTAAACAAACAACCTGCATACTATTGACAAATGTAGCAACTTTATTCATCTTCGATATGCTGAATTTGATAACCCCCAACTAACTATGTATGTAGTACTCTAAATACAGTCAACTACGGTTATAACGAACTCGAAGGGACCACTAATTCTAATTCGTTATAACCGTAGTTCGTTATAAGCATATGTATATTATATATATACAAAATGTACGAGACTAAGAAACAGTTCGTTATATCCGGAAGTTCGTTATACGCGTGTTCGTTATAAACGTAGTTCACTGTATATACATTTCAAGGCGGTAACAGTTATCGAATTGTAATAGACGGTCAAAACACAAAGCCTCATTCTCGGTATTTCCAAAATGGTCGCCAATCACGTGATTTGTGGTTTCGTTTCCACAGGAACCGCACCTGTTGAGACGAGACAACGACGTCGTGGTGACGTCGACACGCATCACCAGCTGTCTTCACGACGTCATCATCGCTATTGGCATCGTCGCGGTTCTCTCCATCATCGCCCTGGCTTTCATTGCAACGGTCGGCCTCAATAACCAGGCGTCTGTCACGTGACATGTGAAGACCATTCTCGGTGTCGGAGGGCTCATTACGCCTCAATCAAGCTGCTCAACGTGTTCACTATTTCGCAAATCGATGTCTACATCTTCCGTGTTTCAAACTGCGTTATGTAATCGTTTTATGTCGAGATGTCGTATTTTTCGATTAAACTATCTCGTACAATCACTACTTCATCTATGTGTGGGGGCGGTCGGGTAGCCTAGTGGTTAAAGCGTTCGCTCGCCACGCCGAAGACTCGGGTTCGATTCCCGACATGGGTGCAATGTGTGAAGCCCATTTCAGTGTCCCCCGCTGTGATATTGCTGGAATATTGCTAAAAGCGGCGTAAAACCATACTCACTCACTCACTCATCTATGTGTGATGATGCTTGGAGATCGCAGTTTCCTCTGGAGTGAGTTACTGAGTTTGGGCCTCTCTTAACAATTTATCACGGCATGTTAGCTTGATGCGGAAGGTAAGCCCGAAGTGATGACGGTTAGACGTCTACTACATCATTGAGACCCACGAGCAGGGTATGGTGTTGGTAAACCAAGACAGATAATTAGAATAAACCGGGATTTGAACCTGTTTCTGGTTCGCCTAAGGGACGTAACTCTGCACAGCGAATTGCAGCGCCTTAGACAATTGAGCAAAATTGGACAAATGGGGTTACAAATAATACCTGGTTCATCACTGATTTTCAGTGAGCCTTTCATATATTTTCCGCCACTGCTTTGCCTTCTACGCCCCATGGAATCTGTTTGGGCAGATAATTCAGAATGATTATTCTCTGGCGTTGGCGCTTTATATTTACGACGCTGATAAAAGTATGTCGGGTGCTTCCGTATTCGAGAAAATATTGAAGCAAGTGTATTCATCCTATGTTGATTCAAGGGGCGAGACATGACATGAGTTATTCAGGGTAGATGTATGAGGGTATGTCATCGCTTCAGCAGTATTTAGTCAATGTCAATGTAGCGGACAAGAAACGGCTCTACCTAGTGTGATCATGTGGAGAATCGAACGAGGGGCTTCTGCGTGCCGAGGTTCATCATCGCAAAGGAAGTCACAGGATGAAGCTAATGATGCTGAGATCGAAAGGAGGCTGTGTCTGGCGTGAAGCAGCTTCCGATGTGAGTGAGTGAGTATGGTTTTACGCCGCTTTTAGCAATATTCCAGCAATATCACGGCGGGGGACACCAGAAATGGGCTTCACACATCGTACCAATGTCGGGAATCGAACCCGGGTCTTTGGCGTGGCGAGTGAACGCTTTAACCACTAGGCTACCCGACCGCCCCGCTTCCAATGTGTATTTGAAAGGGAAACTGTGGAGGGATTGAGCGATGGTTTGTCCAAGGTCCGTTTGACCTACTTCTCGAGTCACATGTTGTGTCCAATGTTGGAAAGGGAGCGAGTGAGTGAGCTGGGTTTAACGCCGCTTTTAACAGTATTCCAGTTATATCACGTCATGTCCGCTTAATGTGGGAGGAAAGCCCGAAGTGATGCAGGTCTCAGACGTTTACCACTTCGGTGAAACCCACGAGCACGGGTATGGTACTGACAAACCTAGGAACATAATCGGGGAGAGCTGGGATTCGAACCAATCATAGGTTTCTGGCGTGCCCAAGGGACGCAACTCGGCACAGCGAATCGCGTTAAATCCAAATCACTCACTCAAAGAACCTGGTGTTGTCATTGGTAGAATGCACAAACTGTTAAAAAGGAAACTGAATGGAATAAACCCATTTTGTCCCAGTCAACTGCCATCCAAAGTCTGACCACCTCGCATGAAAAGGCCTCAACTAACATGACCATTATATATGTAAGCATCACTACATTAATCTTGTGATCAAAGAACTTGATATTCCTTATGTACTTGATTATATAAGTACTGGATTATGGGACAGATATATTCAAGGGTACCGCAAATGTACCCCTAAATCCTGTCACAAGGATTAACCATAACCCTTATGCAATCAATGTTGGACTTTATATCCACATTGTAGTACAGTTAACTACGGTTATAACGAACTCAAAGGGACTACTAATTTTAGTTCGTTATAACCGTAGTTCGTTATAAGCATATATAGTGTATAACTACAGCAGATAGTCAGGACCAAAAAAGTAAGTTTGTTATATCCGTCAGTTCGTTATAAGCGTGTTCGTTATAACCGTAGTTTACTGTACAGTATTTGAGACAACAAAAACAAAAAGTTTAATTCTGTCAAAACATTTAACTTTTCCACACTATACAACACACAAATACATTCGTTGATCCATTGGGCATTTGTCTCAAAACGTGGTGACCATAGACACACTTACAGATCAATCTTCAAAGGTTCAGGACAATTTGTCAACAATGAAAGCAAGGGTCACCGAATGCGTTAGTGTGTGAAGCGGCTGTATAATATCACCAAAGTGTGTGGATAACGGTGCATGACACTTGACACTCATCGCCGTCACATTACACCCATTCGGCTCAGAATGTATAATGAATGTTATGTGTCCTGCTTTGCCACACCTGAAGAGAACATCCCATGAGTCATAAACTTGAGAGCGAACGCTGTGTCACAGTGACGACATCTAGACCACCTCGCCACACATGAATGCAGGACGAACTCTACATGACAATAACACCTACAAAAGCATAACAAAAATCTTACTGGTCCCCCGATCACAATCTACAAGACAGATGGTTATTAAATTGAGATTTTGACATTTGAAAACTGCTCTGTAAGATTACCATCTTTAATGTTGATCTGACACATTGATAAGGCGATCACTGAAAAGCCATATTTCCTTTTGAGAAAACCGGTTCTACCACTCCAACCAAACTGTAATGAAAAACCTGTCTAGCGTAAAAACTAAGCTCCTTGCGTGTCAGCTATTTTTTAGCTTATGCAAACATAACTGTGAATCTGTGTCACACAATTGGTTTGTTGGTTAATGTCTTGGCACTCGTAACTACTCGGAGATGCCCGAGGAAAGCCGAGTGGTTCAATGACTTTTTGTGGAAAAGATCCGAGGTGAAGTTGCACGTATGTGTTCGATGTGATGACATTTGCGACACTCTTTGAATGCAAGCAATGCTGACTTGTGTATATGTTATAGCGTGTGACTGAAATATGGTAATGCACTTTATCATCCAAAACTGACTCCCACAGGAGATATCGCTTGGGTGAGATCAAGCGATATCTACATTGTAGATATCACGGCAATGAAATTGCATCACAGTGATTTGCAGACCATTGTGACGTCGTTGGTTACCGTGACGTCACAATCAAATGACATCACTAATGGCTCTGCTCCTGAAGATGTTAGCAGTACTTTTTACACTTGAGACACTGCTTATTACTGTCTTAAAACCGAAAACGTTGGAAGAATGAGGGGTGGTCGGGTAGCCAAGTGGTTAAAGCGTTCGCTCGTCACACCGAAGACCCGGGTTCGATTCTCGACATGGGTACACTGTGTGAAGCCCATTTCTGGTGTCCCCCGCCTTGATATTGCCGGAATATTGCTAAAAACGGCGTAAAACCATACTCACTCACTGGAAGAATAATGTTAGATGATGAATAAAATCTCACCCTCGTGTCTTTTGATATCAAATATACTCGTTGATATATTTGATATCAAAAGACACGAGGGTGAGATTCTGTATTCATTATCTACAAGGGCAGACATATCGGGGTTCATAAAAATCATATGTGCCCAAGGGTCATATCACGTCACGAGACAACAGTGTAATGTTACCGTCATTCGGACGGCATTGTTGACGTCATCCGAATCTTACTGTGACGTGAGGTCGTAGGAATGACGTCACACTAGAAATGACGTCATAGTTGAGTATTGTTGACGTCATTCGACAAATTGTGGTTCCGCTGCTGTTGCGACTTGCCGTCATTATAGGTATACACTAAAATTCGTCTCTATATGTAGACATTTTCTTCGGTAATAAATAGTACATTATATGAGCGTTCATGTCATACTATCGCTTTCGCTCGGGAAAAACCGGAATTTAGACACTCAACTTACGAGATCGGGTGGTCAGGCTCGCTGACTTGGTTGATGCATGTCATCGTATCCCAATTGCGTGGATCGATGATCATGTTGTTAATCACTGGATTGTCTGGTCCAGACTCGATTATTTACAGACCGTCGTCACATAGCTGGAATATCGCTGAGTGCGGCGTAAACAACAAACAAACAAACAAACAATATGTATTCTGACACTTGGATGCCCAAAACGTCATCTAGTACAGTTTAAAGCAGCGTTAGAAAATACAGTCGAACCTAGCTATCTCGAACCCCGCTATTCGAATGTACCGATATCTTAGACCTATTCTCCGGTCCCGACCGCCTTACAATACACGTTCAGCTAAAGAGTAGATGTCAGGTGTATTGTTTTCGATGCCGCCATTTCAGGGCTTTATATTATAGCCTAAGATCACAACTATTTTCCTCCTTTGCTGTCTACAGTGACCCGGCAGCCCACAGTAATTAACATCGGTCGGAGGCTGTTCTGTTGCATGTTGACCAACCTGCCACTTGTAACTTACACAGGAAAATACCAGCCTGGATTCACCATCTTGATTCCACAGTAACCACTAGCAACATATCACCGGAAGTATCGTGCCGAAACACGCCCATCGGCCTTGAACTTGGGGTCAAATCATGGGACGACAATATGGGAGGCAATGCCATGTACAACTTGTGGGTCCAAGCTAATTCTCAACAAAATACAGTCTAATCTATCCTTAAGCTATCACAAGTCACTGTTAGTAAAGGACCTACGTGGGGTAACTGTGCCCTGAGGCTTTAGCACCGCATCCAACGTCGCCATTCGCTGTGTGGTGTTGCCTGATACTGATCTTTGGTTTGTCAGCACCATATATCGGTGGGCGTGGTCGTGTATGTAGGAAAAGTATAATATATTGATCACTTCGGGCTTTTCTCACGTGTAGTTCACACGCTGTAACGTAACAGAAATACGTCAGTGTTAAACTCACTCACTCACTCACTCGCTCAAACGCTCACCCGCCCACAAACTCACTCACCACTCTTGCCACCATGTTTGTTTGTTGTTTAACGTCGCACTCAGAAATATTCCAGCTATATGACGGCGGTTTGAAAGTAATCGAGTCTGGACCAGACAATCCAGTGATTGACATCATGAGGATCGATCCACGAAATTGGGATACGATGACATGCATCAACCAAGTCAGCGAGCCTGAACACCCACCCGATCCCGTTAGTCGCCTCTTACGACAAGCATAGTCGCCTTTTACGGCAAGCATGGGTTGCTGAAGACCTAGTGTACCCAGGATCTTCACAGACCTTGCCACCATGTAGCTGGTAACTATATTGCAGTATCATATTAAAAGTAGATAGTAAATATTTATCTACAGTTTAGGCAATTCATGTGTCAAAAATCTATACAAGAATTCATCTTAGATAAAGAAGTGCAGAATACTGTAGTTATAATTCTTCAAAGTGTATGCATGGTTGCTAAAATACATCTAAAACTCCCACTGACGTAAGTGTGCTTGAGACTGAATCTGGATCAAATCTGCTTTCATTGCAATGTTGAGTCGGTGTGTACCTGTTTCACCGCGACCTTGACCCAAATATCGCGTCCTTTTCAACAAAGAGTCTATCATACTCATGTAAACAGCGTATAGAGAGACCATCACTCCAATAGACAGAATACAAGTCTGTGTCGAACCTCGTCTAGCGCAACAAAAGAGATGAAAAAAGTAGGCTGGCAGACTGGCCGACTTAGTGTACACAACCTAAAAGCGGGGAAGTAACGCTGGGCGCATATCGGTCCGTCACGTGGTATCAGGGGGGTAGTGTGGGACGTCAGTTGCAATTGGGAAGGAGTTTTGGTCGGAACAGGCTGCTGAGACAGAAGCCCCAAGATGCATCGTATGTATGAACACTGTCGGCCGGGGATACGCGGGGAGGCTGTGGACGTCAGGGGTGAGTGGAAGGGTGGGAGTAGATGGCTAGAGCTGTGTTGTTGCTGTTGCTGTTGTTGTTGTTGTTTGTTGTTTGTTGGCATGAGATAAAGATGACAGAAAAGAATGATATGCCATTGGTGAACATATTGTCTCCGCGCCACCCTGTGTTAATGTGTAAGTAGAAAAACCTGGTAAAACATTTTATTTATTTAAAAAAATCTTCTTTTTGTAATTCATCCAAACTGGCTCCCAGAGGCGATATCGCTTTGTTTCAGACCATTATGGCGTAATCGGTTTCATGACGTCATAATCAAATGACATCACTAATCTCTCAGCCACTGAAACTGGCTAGCTGTACCTTTTACATGTAACACTAGTTGTTACTGTTTACGTACTGGAAAAGTTGCAAAACTCCGAGTTTTATAATTTTTCGACTCGAGTTTATAATATATTTTTTATCAAAAGAGGCTCGGGGGAGATTCTCTACGTCACGTCAAGCCAATCCGCCACAAAAGAAGCAGTGCGTTATGGTGATTTAGATATACAGTTGTTCTCCCTATGAAGCTCTTTCTGATCCAGCTTTTATCCCTCTCTGCGTGTATAATCATGTCTAGTGTATAGTCCCACCCCATGCTGTTCACAGGGGCGTCCCTATATCTTAATGTTCCACAACAGTGATTTCACTTAAAGAGAAGAAGATTGCCTAAAGTTCCAACAAAGCACGTCCCTGTTCAATCGTTCAGCTGGGGTATTTCAAAAGCGACATTGTGGTTTATAGGCTTACATTCTATACCACGCTTAAATCGTATGCATCATCGGTTTTTTGCGTTAGCGAATCCAATTCTGCTGTGAACATTTCACTAAAAAGTAATAACCAAATAATTATCTCACGCTTGGGAATTACTTGTTTGTTTGTTGTTTAACGCCGCAATCAGCAATATTCCAGCTATATGACGGCGGTCTGTAAATAATCAAGTCTGGACCAGACAATCCAGTGATTGACATCATGAGCATCGATCCACGCAATTGGGATACGATGACATGCATCAACCAAGTCAGCGAACCTGACGTCCCGATCCCATTAACGCCTCTTACGACCAGCATAGGTTGCTGAAGACTTATTCTACCCCGGATCTTCACAGGTCGCTTTGGAATCAGTAAAAATAAAATAAACTCAAGCGGCCAGCGAACATGACATTTGTGAATAGACTACGATCGCTACCAGTGGATTTTTTTAGGCCAAGCAGATCTGGACTTTATACGCTTGTATTGTTTGCCGTGTCTCTATTGGTGTGCCATCAATGAATGCCTCAGTTTTGAGGGTATGCCTGAGCGTGTACCAGTAGCGAGTGTTGTGGGCGGGTCTCCAGTGTACACAGTTTGCAAAGTTTACACACTGGAAGTATTGAGTGAAATCAAAGATTGCATTAATAAGTGTATGTGCTCGAAGTGTATGTGCGTATTACTATGCTTTCAATGCGGATGCGTGATTGTGTGAAGAATATATGCCTTATTAGAAATATATCTGCTACACGAACGTTCCTTCTTCAATGCGTGTACGTGGGTTAGTGTCAAGAGCCCTGACACATTTTGGCAGACACTCTGACGTCAGTCGTACTTTGTAATAACAGAATGTTTTGCGACTATCCTGCAGGACGCATGAATGATGTCGATTGCAAGTCACAACTCGTATGCGGTGACGTTCGTGGGATGAACGTTAGATAGGGAGGTGGGGTGGGGTGGGGTGGGGTGAAAATGGGTTTATCGCCGCGTTCAAGATTATTGTTCTTATATAGCGACGTTCTTGCAGGTGTGCGTGTGTGCGTGTGTGTGCGTGTGTGTGTGTGTGTGTGTGTGTGTGTGTGTGTGTGTGTGTGCTTTTACTACTGCAGACGAATTCCGGTTTTATAGTGCTAGCCCGTTGAGATACCATGCCGCAGTTTAACATGGATACCCCTCTCAAACACATAATACTGACTCTGTGCCGACCAGTCCCTGTTTTATCCCCTTAATGCCGAGTACCAGGCAAAGAAACATCTTTTAACATCTTTTGGTTTGAAGTAGCCGGGGATCGAACAACCGGCCTTCCGCTCTCTTGGCAGACCTCTATCCTCTAGTCCATGGAGGCGGTTCCGATATCAAGGTAGTTAGCAGAACAGGCAAGAGTGCATGACGAATGTTAGGGTTTCTGCACGACGCAATGAAGAACGTCGACTGTTTGTTTGTTTGTTGTTTAACGCCGCTATTAATATTCCAGCTATATGGCGGCGGTCTGTAAATAATCGTCTGGACCTGACAATCGAGTGTTTGATTTCATGAGCATCAATCCACGCAATTGGGATACGATGACATGCATCAACCAAGTCAGCGAGCCTGACCACCCGATCCCGTTAGTCGCCTCTTACGACAAGCATAATCACCATTTACGAAAAGCATGGGTTGCTGAAGACCTATTCTATCCCGGATTTTCACGGGTCGAGCTTGATTTAACGCCAATCAAACCTGTAAGACCAAACGAGAAAGGTCGCAAGGATTCATCGATTGCACATACGTATACCTTTTTTTCAATCGTGTACTATTACATCCATTTGTAAACACGTGTCTCTGGTTACCAAGCAACATGGTGTTTAAATTTGGAAGTAACCAAGGAAAATTCGACTGCTATTACTTTCTAGCACGGTATCCCCAAAATATATATCATCAACGCTTTTAACAGTATCCCAGTTATATCACGGCGTGTCAGCTTAATGTGGGAGGAAAGCCCTAAGTGATGCAGGTCTCAGACGTTTACCACTTCGGTGAAACCCACGAGCACGGGTATGGTGCTGACAAACCTAGAAACATAATCAGGGCGAACCGGGATTCGAACCCCCAATCATAGGTTTCTGGCGTGTCCAAGGGACGCAACTCTGCACAGCGAATCACGGCGCCTTAGACGACTAGGCCACCCATGGCCCCCAAATAGTGATGGAAATGGTGTGAATTAATCACTGAAAAACAATGACACCCGGTGTCAAGGGCAAGCATATCCTGCTCTACCGGAACACCCGTCACCCACCAACAGTGTTTGTTAGTTGCCTGATACCGCACTGTAGTACTCCTGCCAATCAACGGCAGCTTGTAAACAATCAAGTCTTGAGTAATGTTATATAAGTAATGTATTAGAGCTCCGGCAAATGTGTGAACCTCTTCCAATTTAAAATTCCGTTTACATGAAATTTTAGCTGTACTTGGAGGCACGGGTGGCCCAGTCGTCTAAGGCGCGCGATTCGCTGTGCAGAGTTGCGTCCCTTGGGCACGCCAGAAACCTATGATTGTGGGTTCGAATCCCGGGTCGCCCTGATTATGTTTCTAGGTTCGTCAGCACCATACCCGTGCTCGTGTGTTTCGCCGAAGTGGAAAACGTCTGACACCTGCATCACTTCGGGCTTTCCTCCCACATTAAGCTGACACGCTCGATATAACAGGAATACTGTTAAAAGTGGCGTTAAACCCAACTCACTCACTCACTCACCTGTACTTCTGGTGTTTACATGTCTTACAGAGGCTAACGGGTTTACCCTTAGACGTGCACAGCCTTAGCAAGGCGAGGTGAAGACGGAATACGATAATAGGAGTTTTAGGGACAAGTAGAGTAATTGAGTAAATAACCTGATGTAACTTGCTAGTTTGATCCTCATGACATTGACGTAATTGAAAGTAATTTGTACCAAAGCCATCGCTGTTTGATCGCACCCTGTACTTAGCAGTAACGCACGAGCTTTGCAAACACTTGAAAATAAAAGTATTTAAATGTACTTCAGAACTAATAGTGTGTAGATACGCGGTTATTGATGAAAGAGTTGCTGCAGAAGAGTATGTGTACCTATCACATGCATGGCTTGGCTGCCTCTAAAAAATATGTCACATTCAGTATAATCGTATGTTGTGATCCATCACACTATTTGGGGTGGTAGTTTAGGGTTACCGATGATTTTTATTGGAGAAAGTATTTATATTTTCATAACACCGTTTTTTTTAAGAAAAAAAACATGTTAAGTGAACAATGTATTTTGGGCAATAAAACCCGAAAAGGAAAAAAAAATTTTCAGTTTATTCATTTATTATTTTCAAAAAACACAAATGGTCTGTTCCTAAGGCGCACCATTGACAGGGGGTACAGAACGTGAACAGTTTACTGCAGAAATTTATTCTTTGACATTGACAGTACAACCACTCTGGTTTCTATCATAATAATGTCGTTCTAGAAAGTTGATGTAGTTTGTCAAACTTGTCCTACGAATTCCTTAGATTAATTTTTTTCACCGCAAATAACGTTATACTTGTCAAAGAAATTTGCGTATTGGTGTTGATAATTAAGAGAAAATTAATAAACAGTATTATTGCAAGCCAAATAAAAAAGGATGCAAAACTTGTTACATTTGCTTAAGGAGTAACCACTGATAATATTTCCTTAGAAAGAACCTATGTCACACCGTTTACTTATTCTTTTGATGTATATCTTAATGTTTTAGTATATACAATGAGATTCTTTGTTTAAAGGCTATCATCGTGTCCGTAATTCACCGTCCTGTTACAAATTCAATTTAACGCTGACCAATATCCAGGTAACATACTCGTAGCTCTACAATGAAACTTATTCTAATACGTAGACTGACTCTGACTATATGTATTCCTCTCTGTACAGCAATGATGCGAGCATGCAGAACAGGAGAGCAACCACCGTCCGGGATGTGGAAGTGTTCCGGTGTGGTCCTAGAGATGGCCTTCTTCTCCGACGAGAAGGTGGCGGGAGGGGGCAACGACAGTGTGGGCGACTACTACATCTCGGGAACGTGGGGAGGTGGGGAGGTGAAGTTCGTCATTCACTACACCGGCAAATACGACGTCACCTACAACGGAAAATATGCTGATAGTAAGGTCACAGGTACATGCGTCCAGAGTAACGGCGGTTCCAGTTCTCCCTTTGAGTTGGTGTTTTGTGGAAAAGATGCAAAGGTCACTCCGAGGCCTGGTCAGTGGTCAGGCCAACTCTGCCGATCAGGAGGGACTGAGACGTTCCACATCGACTTTGAATTTGGCGATCATCCGTACAAGTCGATAACTGGACGCGGCAAGGATGATAAAGGGAACTTTCGAATCAAAGGTCGTCTTGAAGGGCGAGGGCTTCGTCTGATACGTCACAACATCGTCTACTACGGCCTGATGAACGAATCAGGGACGGCGGTCGTAGGGATGTTCCTTGATTCAGGAGGATGCTGGATGGAAGGAAGGTTCGTGCTGAAGATCGGCGGAGGCAGTGCTGTTCCGTCTGGAGGCGCTTCTGACCACCCAACCAGTGGGGTCTGGTTCTGGTTCCTGAGTGGCCGCCCTGAATATCGCTGCTACCTCCAGCTGATGTTTGTTCCTGGGAAGTTCTCCGGTAATGGTCGAGACGAGACTGGATACTTCACTCTGACAGGAACCTGGAGTGGAACCACCATCACCTTCAAGAAGAGCACAACCTCGGTTACCTACACCGGTACCATCTCTCCAGGAGCCAACGTCATCAGTGGTCAGAATCCAGATGGTGGAACATTCAACATTGCCTTCTTCATGGAGTTTGAACTTCCGGAATTCCCCTACCAGTTTCCAAACAAAAACGTTTCCAATGGACAGCAATGCGCTATCAAGCTGTTCCAAGAGATACAGATCTGGTTGTCAAGGAGACGCAGGCTTATCCAAGAGTTCCGCCTTATTATCCAAAAGATTGAACAAGCTCAATCTGGGAGCCTTTCTGTTCAGTTCCCAGGAGATATTGTGGAAGTCAATGAGCTGATAATCATCGCGATTAGTCTGCTAGCATTGCTCAGTGGGGGTGGAGCTGCTTCGGCTTTGTTGTTAAGATTTGGCAAAAAGACTGACATGGTTTCCTTCACAAGCGATGCATTTAAAGGCGCATCGAAGATCCTGGAAGTGTACAAGTCAGCTGCGGACGCTGAGACGCTGAAGGACTTGGTCGAGGAGGATGTCATCTCCTCCCGAATCATCTACTATCTCATCGACACTCTCTGGGACATCTCTGGAGTCTTGAGCACTCACTGCAAGGTTGACATATCAGTGAAGAGGATTGCCAAAGGGTTCCTGTTCCAAGCAGCTACTGGGATTGATATCATCAGCTTCGCCTTCCCTGATGAATATGCAGCACCGCTGCTAACAGCTCCTGAGTTTGATCATGGGAAGCTGGGTGAAATAGAATCAGCTTTACTGGAATGTATTGGTAAAATCGCCGAGATGAACAAAGACGCCATGGACAGGGTTGGAGGTTCTGTTGGAGTTGCAATCCAGTTGAAGGACATACAAGAAGCCCTAGAGGACCTGGATGATGCATCACCCTCTGTTTTCAGGAAATGCCTGGATCAATGCATCGTTGTTCTGGAACGGAAGATGGAAATCTACGTCTCTCTACAACTGAAGACCGAGAAATATTTTGAAGAGCGGGAAACCATCAGCTCCAAGTTGTCAGTGGAGACGGTTGTTACTGTAGAGTTTATCAATGAAGTTATAGCAGTCCTGAGAGACTTCAACCCAGGGTGGTGTCAAGCTGTTGAAGAAGCAAATCTTCAAGAAGTATTTGCGGCAACTATGACCAAGGTCTTCCCCGCCATCAGACAGAAGATGAACCTCATGATGAGCAGCTATCGCCCAGGTGGTTCAGACACTCCAGTTGACATACTCGAGATCGTTATTGTCGGTGAAGCGGCAGTTGGTCTACCAGCTTTCAAGAGAGACCTGTTATTCCCTGTCCCAACTCTCCAGGATGTTGTACTATACCAACCATACGGATGCACCATTAACCAGTCCACAATCCTTGGCATTGCGTCCGGCTCTTTCAGACCAAGTTGCCGACAGATGTCATCCAGCGTCGACCTACCGCAATCGTGGAACTCCCTCCTTTCCGGACAAACTGAAGACGTTCCTTCAATCTACCTAGAACAGGCCGTTATTGACGAAGTCACATTCACTGAGCTGAAGGATCTTCTTCAGCAGTTCCCAGATGATGTCCAGAGAAACCGCCTCATCATCCCCTTCTTCACCGCCTCGGATGCTGACTCTCTGCCTCCTGTTCCCCTCTGGTTGTTGACCTCTGCCTGCTCTGTGGCAGGGATGGTGAGTGGGGTCAATGTCCGCGTCCACCTCGCCACCAGCCTCCCCGTCCCCGACCCAACTCCAGAGTTACAGACGCTGTGTCAAAGCCAGTACAGCTACGCCCAGACGGCCATGACCTGTGACATCGCTCAGCTCCACCTCGAGGGCATCAACACCAGCTGGCTCAATCGCTTTATGCAGAGCGAAACGCTCTCGAGTTATTTCTCAAGTAAGTGGTTCTTCGCATTCTGAAGCAAACTTAACGTCTGTTAGAATAGGTCTCCAGCAATCCATGCTTGCAGGAAAAGGAGACTATGCTTGTCGTAAGAGGCGACTAACGGGATCGGGTGGTCAGGCTCGATGACTTGGTTGATGCATGTCATCGTATCCCAATTGCGTAGATCGATGCTCATGATTTCAATCACTGGATTGTCTGGTCCAGACTCGATTATTTACATACCGCCGACATATAACTGGAATATCACTGATTGCGGCGTTAAACAACAAACAAACAAAACAAAATGTATGCTACACCATAGATACGGTGAATGGAAATTACAAATGGATACGACAGTTGTAAGTGTAAAATCTAAAATATTCGAAGCGTCCGTTAAATCCCCAACAATGTAATACATTAATACGACTTATCTCGCCAAAGACTTGCTTTCAATGTGAAAATTAGAAAATGACATGAGGGAATGTATCACGTAAATCATGACATATTTCAGTCACAATTAACTCTGATTTATAAAACCTTTCACACGTTACAACCTCGGTTAATCTTTAAATAAACCCGTAAAGATCCGGGGTAGAATAGGTCTTCAGCAACCCGTGCTTGCCGTAAAAGGCTACTAACGTGATTGGGTGGTCGGGCTCTCAGGACGTGGTTGATGCATGTCATCGTATCCCAATTGCGTGGATCGATGCTCATGATGTCAATCACTGGATTGTCTGGTCCAGACTCGATAATTTACAGACCGCCGTCATATAGCTGGAATATTGCTGAATGTGGCGTTAAACAACAAATAAACAAATAAATAAATACTCTGTCAATATATCACTGTGATCAGATGATTTTCAATGTTTATAACAGGCTCTTCCACTCGCACAAGGAATATGTCGTTCGAAGGAGGCGTGATCCGTATAACGACGACCACTACAACGACCTATCAAGGGTAGATAACTCAACTGGATTGGGAGAATCGTCTACAGACAATTCTGTTCTTTAGCTTTAGTGCTGCCCGTAAGAGAGGGCCTGTATTATGACCGAAAAATACGTGTATCAACGTTTAATGTAATGCATTGTTTTGTAATTTTAGACAAGGATAATCGACGGCGCATAGTTTGGCTATCTTTGTGCTAAGAATTTCCCAGTTCCATCAATGGTATACAGTAAACTACGGTTATAACGAACTCAAAGGGACCATTAATTTTAGTTCGTTATAACCGTAGTTCGTTATAAGCGCATCTACAGCATAACTACAGAAAATTTTAGGCACAAAAAAGTTCGTTATATCCGTCAGTTCGTTATAAGCGTGTTCTTTATAAACGTAGTTTACTGTAGTATGAAGTGTAGGAAAGAGTACATCCATGCCTTGATAGGGCACGACCATTTGATACTTGTGAAAAGAGGGCTGTATTATTTGTTCCTGGATAGGCTTAATGTCCTAAAAATGGCCGTCTTTTCCTCTCAGAATGTTTTAAAGGAGTGGCCTTTCCTTTCTAACATCCTCGAACTCAAATCAACCATTATCAAGCTGGATGCAGAATTATGACCTATCGATACATTAGTGACAAGTTACAACTTCATTTGGGACAATTCCACTACTGGGAGTTTCATGTCCAGTGTTACTCGTTATGTCGTATGTATGCTGAAATCTCGAATCTTTTTATCTGATCGACCGTGTCGTCTGCTATGGTAGTCATCTCAGTGAAGCCATTCGAAATTAGCACAGCGATCTGATTGGACATCGCGTTTTCATCACAAGGGACACAACTCGTGTTCAACACGGCACTCCGCACAATCGATCCCGAAAATTAGACTTGAAATGGCAAGGGTGAAAACTAGGCTTTGATATATGCAAGTGGACACTCTTTCCTCGGAAAGATGTCCCTCATATGTCATCACCCTTATCCAATGTTGTTTTCAGCGATCGATGGGTCATAGCAGTGTTGCAGTAAGCAGTACCCACAGTTGTATGGTCTACAGAAAGTTGTAGGTTCAGTGGCAGCAATTTTCAAAATGTGAAGCTATTAGTTTCGGCTTTATTTTGTATTTTTTACTCATGTTGGTTTACAAGGAGATTTATATTTACAAAATATTGCTTTTGTTTAATATATACCAGTAATCTCACAGCAATAAATATGTTTAATACAAGGAAATGACTTTATTATGTGTGTTTATGGTGCGTTCATCTACATGCTAAGTTATATATGACATATGTCGAAGTGCGGCGGGTGGTCTGCACGGAGAATGGGAAGGTCGTCGGTTCGATCCCCGGCCGCGTCATATCAAAGACGATAAGCCGGAGATGCTATATGTTGTGAACCTGCTTGGTTCTCGGCATTAAGGAAGTAAAATAAGGACTGGTCGGCTCGGAGTAAGTATCCTGTCTCTCAGTGGGGTATTCATGTTAAACTACGACATGATATCTTAGTTGGTTAGCACCATAAAACAGGCATCAGTCCGGAATAGTATGAAAACACACACACACACACACACACACACACACACACGAAACAAGGGCATATAAAAGCGACGTTTGACCCCATTTCACCTCACCTCACCTCACCTCACCTCACCTCACCTCACCTCACCTCACCTAACCAACGGCCGGTGAGTGAGGTTGAACATCAGTCCTGGACTAATGTCATCTCTGTGGTTTATATGTGTCATATCAGTCCTGGACTAATGTCATCTCTGTGGTTTATATGTGTCATATCAGTCCTGGACTAATGTCATCTCTGTGGTTTATATGTGTCATATCAGTCCTGGACTAATGTCATCGCTGTGGTTTATATGTGTCATATCAGTCCTGGACTAATGTCATCTCTGTGGTTTATATGTGTCATATCAGTCCTGGACTAATGTCATCTCTGTGGTTAATATGTGTCATATCAGTCCTGGACTAATGTCATCTCTGTGGTTAATATGTGTCATATCAGTCCTGGTCTAATGTCATCTCTGTGGTTATATGTGTCATATCATACCTAGACTAATGTCATCTCTGTGGTTTATATGTGTCATATCATACCTGGACTAATGTCATCTCTGTGGTTTATATGTGTCATATCAGTCCTGGACTAATGTCATCTCTGTGGTTTATATGTGTCAAATCAGTCCTGGACTAATGTCATCTCTGTGGTTTATATGTGTCACATCAGTCCTGGACTAATGTCATCTCTGTGGTTTATATGTGTCATATCAGTCCTGGACTAATGTCATCTCTGTGGTTAATATGTGTCATATCAGTCCTGGACTAATGTCATCTCTGTGGTTATATGTGTCATATAATACCTAGACTTATGTCATCTTTGTGGTTTATATGTGTCACATCAGTCCTGGACTAATGTCATCTCTGTGGTTTTATATGTGTCATATCAGTCCTGGACTAATGTCATCTCTGTGGTTTATATGTGTCAAATCAGTCCTGGACTAATGTCATCTCTGTGGTTTATGTGTCATATCAGTCCTGGACTATTGTCATCTCTGTGGTTAATATGTGTCATATCAGTCCTGGACTAATGTCACTTCTGTGGTAAAGATAAGTCATAACAGTCCTGGGCCACGTTCCTCAAAGCGATCTTAGCACTAAGGTGATCGTAAGTCCCATGCTATACCATAGGCTTACGATCATCGTAGCGCTAAGATCGCTTTGAGGAACGAGGCCCTGGACAAATGTCATCTCTGTGGTTTATATATGTCACATCAGTCCTGGACTAATGTCATCTCTGTGGTTTATATGTGTCATATCAGTCCTGGACTAATGTCATCTCTGTGGTTTATATGTGTCACATTAGTCCTGGACTAATGTCACTTCTGTGGTAAAGATAAGTCATAACAGTCCTGGGCCACGTTCCTCAAAGCGATCTTAGCACTAAGGTGATCGTAAGTCCCATGCTATACCATAGGCTTACGATCATCGTAGCGCTAAGATCGCTTTGAGGAACGAGGCCCTGGACAAATGTCATCTCTGTGGTTTATATATGTCACATCAGTCCTGGACTAATGTCATCTCTGTGGTTTATATGTGTCATATCAGTCCTGGACTAATGTCATCTCTGTGGTTTATATGTGTCACATTAGTCCTGGACTAATGTCACTTCTGTGGTAAAGATAAGTCATAACAGTCCTGGGCCACGTTCCTCAAAGCGATCTTAGCACTAAGGTGATCGTAAGTCCCATGCTATACCATAGGCTTACGATCATCGTAGCGCTAAGATCGCTTTGAGGAACGAGGCCCTGGACAAATGTCATCTCTGTGGTTTATATGTGTCATATCAGTCCTGGACTAATGTCATCTCTGTGGTTTATATGTGTCATATCAGTCCTGGACTAATGTCATCTCTGTGGTTTATATGTGTCACATTAGTCCTGGACTAATGTCATCTCTGTGGTTTATATGTGTCATATCAGTCCTGGACTAATGTCATCTCTGTTGTTTATATGTGTCATATCAGTCCTGGACTAATGTCATCTCTGTGGTTTATATGTGTCATATCAGTCCTGGACTAATGTCATCTCTGTGGTTTATATGTGTCATATCAGTCCTGGACTATTGTCATCTCTGTGGTTAATATGTGTCATATGACTCATATCAGTCCTGGACTAATGTCACTTCTGTGGTAAAGATAAGTCATATCAGACCTGGGCCCCGTTCCTCAAAGCGATCTTAGCACTAAGGTGATCGTAAGTCCCATGCTATACCATAGGCTTACGATCATCGTAGCGCTAAGATCGCTTTGAGGAACGAGGCCCTGGACAAATGTCATCTCTGTGGTTTATATATGTCACATCAGTCCTGGACTAATGTCATATCTGTGGTTTATATGTGTCACATCAATCCTGGACTAATGTCATATCTGTGGTTTATATGTGTCATATCAGTCTTGGACTAATGTCATCTCTGTGGTTTATATGTGTCATATCAGTCCTGGACTAATGTCATCTCTGTGGTTTATATGTGTCATATCAGTCCTGGACTAATGTCATCTCTGTGGTTTATATGTGTCATATAAGTCCTGGACTAATGTCATCTCTGTGGTTTATATGTGTCACATCAATCCTGGACTAAGGTCATCTCTGTGGTTTATATGTGTCATATCAGTCCTGGACTAATGTCATCTCTGTGGTTTATATGTGTCATATCAGTCCTGGACTAATGTCATCTCTGTGGTTTATATGTGTCATATCAGTCCTGGACTAATGTCATCGCTGTGGTTTATATGTGTCATATCAGTCCTGGACTAATGTCATCTCTGTGGTTTATATGTGTCATATCAGTCCTGGACTAATGTCATCTCTGTGGTTTATATGTGTCACATCAATCCTGGACTAAGGTCATCTCTGTGGTTTATATGTGTCGTATCAGTCCTGGACTAATGTCATCTCTGTGGTTTATATGTGTCATATCAGTCCTGGACTAATTTCATCTCTGTGGTTTATATGTGTCATATCAGTCCTGGACTAATGTCATCTCTGTGGTTTTTATGTGTCATATTAGTCCTGGACTAATGTCATCTCTGTGATTTATATGTGTCATATCAGTCCTGGACTAATGTCATCTCTGTGGTTTATATGTGTCACATCAGTCCTGTACTAATTTCATCTCTGTTGTTTATATGTGTCATATCAGTCCTCGACTAATGTCATCTCTGTGGTTTATATGTGTCACATCAGTCCTGGACTAATGTCATCTCTGTGGTTTATATGTGTCATATCAGTCTTGGACTAATGTCATCTCTGTGGTTTATATGTGTCATATCAGTCCTGGACTAATGTCATCTCTGTGGTTTATATGTGTCATATCAGTCCTGGACTAATGTCATCTCTGTGGTTTATATATGTCATATCAGTCCTGTACTAATGTCATCACTGTGGTTTATATGTGTCATAGTAACCTTGAACTGAAAACATCTCCGTGGTTTATATGTTTTATATCGGTTTGAAAATATTAATCTTAAATATCCTTACAGAGTTTTGATTGTCCTCAGCAGTGTAATCTCAGATGGGTTTTCTTTGATGCCAATTCTGTGGGGGTATCTGTGGCACACAGACAGTACAATAGGTGGTATCCTTCTCACACCAGCGCCATGATGAGTACACAGAGGAGCACGATGCTGCTGAGGACAAATGCTGCTACGATGACGGCGGCCTGGATGTGACGTCGCCGACGTGTTGACTTATCGGATACGTTATTAATCTGAAATGACCAAATACATCTTACATACCTGGTATCAATCTAGCAATCGTACACGGCATTTAGCTGTCGTCGGAAAATGCTCAGGTCTAAACTGACGGCGAAAAAAGACACCATAACCACCGGAACTCGATGATAGCGTTTATAACATAATATTTTCGTATAGAAATAAATCACACCCCTCTATACACGTAGAGACAAGGAGTGACACCCGCCAGCTTGGTTCTTGTTCAAGATTTCGCACTCAAATCGAATCACAGCTCGACATCGATATCGCATGAAATATGAATGTCACTTATACTAAGTTGGCCACCAGCGGAAAAGAGGCTTTGTTTATATTTTCGTTCCCACAATTTCCTGTATACCTTAAACCTTTTCTATTGCATGAAGGAGGTATCTGTGCACAATTTTCATTGGGTAGTAAGCTTGCAAGTGTGTGCATGAATTTTCAGGGGGTCAAAATTGCATAAATTGATGGAAAAATGCATAATTTGATAAAATCGGCTGTGACATTTTTATTAAGTCATTAAACTATCCAAATTATGTCTTTGATTACAGGTAATGTGTTCGGTTATCTGAATTTGGCAAACATTTTGTTTCACTTAACTGTTAATCTAATTCTCAGTGGAAACACAGATAAAAATCATGTTTTTTTACTTCATTTTCAAATCGAGGGATGCAAGTCATCGTTCCCAGTTGCGTGGATCAATGCTCATGATGACAATCACTGGATTGTCTGGTCCTGACTCGATTATTTACAGACCGCCGTCATATAGCTGGAATATTGCTGAGTGCGGCGTTAAACAACAAACAAACAGTTTACATTGTATGAACAGGGGTAAAGGAACAGTTCCAGAGAAAGAAAAGCAGCAGAGATTCAATTAAAAAAAGAAAAAAACCTTATACGGTGGTCGACCACTGGCTGCAAGGCAATGGCGATTAGCTGGTGTGTCTGCCACAAGAGAGCTCCGAATGCCATAATCCTGAGATGTGCTACAAGTCTCTCTGATTCCTATTGCAAATTCACCACCAATGTCGTTAGAACGTGACGTGGAATAATTGTTCTTCATGTGATAACTTTGTTCATTCCCAATGAACACTCTCAAAGATCCATCATTCTGCCACACGCTGCCCGATTCATCGGTACGCAGAGAAAATGCAATACCAGAGTCCACGTCTTCACGGGGACGATGCGAGATCGGCCGTGGTTCGGCGAGATCTCTTCGCGAGGAAACATCCTCTGGCTGTTGTCTCCCATCCGTACCATCAGTAGTAGACGAATCAGACACATCCCTCTTGAAATTATCGCTGTCGTCCATCATCTGATCGTCTTCAGATCATGAATCTGGCTCCTTTCAACACTAGTTCTCCACACAGTCGTCTCCTTCGCATAAAGGATCGAGGGTTCTATTCATTTCAAGACCGGGGTCCCAAGCAATGAGGAAGTTCTAATTTTTTTGTCAACTTATTCTCCGATACGTCGGGCAGTAATCACCATGATAATACACTGTTGGTCTGGCGATATTGAGTAAAGACAGGCCTTAAATTGTTTTGAAAAGCGTTGGATAATTTACGAGCCAGGGACGGCCTCATTTGTGATCCATTCTGTTTTATTCCACAAGGAAGTGCCATCTGCCTCGTGTGTTATGTGAGTCATACGATACCCCACATATGGTTCAACAAGGCAATATGATATCAGTGAATTGGTTTGGGCGTCAGAAGCTTTTGCTGAGGGCAACGGAGCATAGTGTACATTTCTACTGCATACGTAACAGGCATATTCGTCCAAACAGGATTCATTTTATGACCGCCGTCATATAGCTTGAATATCGCTGAGTGCGGCCTCAAACAACAAACAAACAAACACTTTTATGGGTTCAAGAATTTTGAAGACTGTTAAGGTTGTATTTTTTGCTTACTCTTTTGAAATTGATGGCGTTCTATGGGGCGTTCCTTTGTGCCGGACACATTCATAAACACGTGATTATTACAAGGCTGGGTTCGTACAATGGACGCTGCCTTTATAATCGGATTTTAATTACACTATCATGCAGTAACACGATACTCGTGTACACATGCAAACATTACAATCAATCTCACATCACAATACATCATACGCCCACCCACCCGCCCGCCATGCCCCGTACACTAAAACACACACAATCATATGGCTTATATAATATACCTCCCCGGCTTATGCACGTGCTGAACATGTCATTCCATTTTAAGGGTTGAGGGTTAAGGACCTCTCTTCGGATGCTTCCTTCCGGAAAGTTTTCCCAGCGATAGATCTTACACCATCAGTTGGCACAGGAATGAGGTTTGAATCCCCTAACACACTCGGGGAAGTCGGTAACCTATGAATGCGGCCAGAGATAGCACACACACACACACACACACGCACGCACGCACGCACGCACGCACGCACACGCACGCACACACACACACGCACACGCATGAATCCCCTAACACACTCGGGGAAGTCGGTAACCTATGAATGCGGCCAGAGATAGCACACACACACACACACACACGCACGCACCCGCACGCACGCACGCACACATACACACGCACACACGCACACGCACGCACGCGCACACATTACGCACGCACACACGCACGCACACGCACACACACACGCGCTCGAACCTTGTGTATCAGCTTGCCTCAGATCCTGTAACAATTACGGTTCGTGAGGTTAGTGGTTGAACCCTCCATTTTTCAACATCCTGGATCACACACACACACACACACACACACACACACTCACACTCTCACACACACACACACACACACACACACACACACACACACACACACACACACACACACACACACACACACAGATGGATAAGCTAATCCGCTATTACACATGTGGAATTGAACCCGGGGCGAGGGCTTCAACCACTGAGCTACCCTACCGCCCGGGGTTAGTGCCTAACATAACATCCTTGTCCGTTACACTATGGTTGAGAAACTAAGTCGGTAAGATGTAAAGCAGTGATATCTTTATCGGGTGTATAAGATTGGAATTACACCCCACGATATCTGCCTTTGGGTGCTTTTACAACGAGTAACCAAACGAACACCTGACAGTTCATGATAAGGTACGCTAAGGCCGACGCACCTGGTACATTGCCTGTTGCACGGTTCATTGATCTTCCTGAATTACAACTAAATATAACTCACGTATCTTTAAGCTCCATACATGCAATACATAGACCCTTTGATAAACTGTTTCGTCGACAATGTCAGACCTTGCATACATGTTGTACACCTGGTATCATCATTGTATAGTTCTACTGATTTCTTTTTGACCATGTCGCTTCCATTTTGTTTGGACAGTTTTTTTCAATTACTACTACTACTACTACTACTACTACTATTATTTATTTATTTATTTATTTATTTATTTATTTATTTATTTATTCATTTATTTATTTATCTATTTATTTATTTATTCATTCATTCATTCATTCATTTATTTATTTATGTATTTATTTTCGCGCTCGCACTACCTTTGGTGGATAAGAAAAAGAAAGATGGAACTACCAAAACAATGTGGTAGATTTTTCACTAATAACTGCTCAAATGCATTGTATATCGTCTTTAGCCCCATAAATCCTCTATAAAGTGTATAAAAAACCATGGCAACCATGCATGTTTTTAAGTACTCTGAGACCGCCTCCGTGGCGTAGAGGTAGAGCGTCATAACAAGAAACTATCTGACGACGCCCAAACGACGGCACATATGCTCTGCAAACTCTGCAATCCACTGAAATCTGCACGGCAGTCGACATCGTGTTTATGGGCCGGATGTCGATTTGGTTATACGATTTTGATTGGACTGTACATGCATTTAGTCCAGCCAATATGTCACTTCATAGTTTCAGCCTAGTTCGGCAAGGGTGGAAACTGGATTTTTTATAGTCAGTTAACTCCCTTGCCTCGGGAAGATGGATGAACGGGGCAACAACAACAGAGAAAAAACCTGTGAGCAATCTTTATCCTTGTCTGTGATAAATAATACAATAAACTCATCCGTTTTTCTAATATTCGAACATAAAAAAGTCTTTGACCCAAGCTGATTTTCTTTGGAGATGTATATACATTAAAAAAACCAGTACAAACATCCGGTAAAAAATCACCTGGGGTGACAGACATGTCATAATTAAGACTTTCCCTTGAAGCTCGCAAAATCGTGCAGGACAGAAAAAGGTCTTGCCGTCAGTTATTTGAATATGTCTGATATTTGTCGATAGTTCTTTGATTTCCAAAACTCTAAAATGTGGCATTTTCAGTCTTCTCTTAATGAAACCTCGTCCTTTGTTTTAATTCTTATCCTTATTACTACCGAAAAAAGCTAATTTGCTACATCCCTCATCCAAAATAAAATGTGTCCTGATTGTTATTTTCTTTCAGACAAGAATACATACATCCCTTCACGACATTAATGTTTGTGACTATAGCGTCCAGTATCACATGCCATGGCCAGCGTACCGGGCCGCGCCCATGAAACACGGGGTCTACCTGTCCTGCACCATGACTGTGGAATATATTTATTTTATGAAAATAAATAATCTAGAAACGCATACAAAAGCAAGTCTAGCCAGATCTAGCTAGCTCTAAAATCAGCATATGGAATTTTTTTTTTATTTTTAAGTCAAGAAGGATATTGTGTAATATAAGATTTCATAGACTAAATGTTAGTCTAACAGTCTACCAGTGTGGAACATATTAATAAACGACACAAAAACGCTTTTCTAATCAAATTTATTATTACAGTTTTATAAGTACAAAATGAGGTGACGAATGAAGGAAGTACAAAGTGATGGATGTACGTGATGAGGTATGAAACATAAAATATGCATAAAATTCTTGTTATATCGGTTTATTGATGATGACTACTGTATTCCCCATTCTTCCACATATCAATCATCATTTACAAACAATTAACACACATTAATATCGTCTCAATGTGACTGAGATACTACCTACAAGACCTTAAATATTAACCCACTTACATTAATAATTTCATAGCAGTATAAATCATCAAACATTTTGAAAAGCGGTAGCAAAATAAATTATCATAATGCAAACAAGTATATATACATTTTTTAACGGGAAAATTTTTTAACATCATCAACGGTTCTTGGGGAAAGAACGCCAACTGATGCTCTCGCCTCTAATACTACAACAGAGCCATACAACTTGACACAACAATACCACACAACATGTATTTTGTATAAAACCTCTCGTACATTATATACTTGGCCGTATGAAACGAGAATGTCGGACACGAAAATAGTATCATTGTGTCTTAATAGAGTTAAGAAAGTCATTTTGAAAGTTAGGACAATTTTGTAAACAACTGTGTCCGAAATACCGCGCTGTTGTCATTCATATTGATGTCAGGCTGTTATATTCAATAATGACATATACTCTTTAAAACGTCAATCTGGTTAAACCGAATCCATACTTTTGCGATTAATACCGTTCGTATATGAATATCTGTGATGTCAATAATTTTGATGATGTCATTTGTGATACATCTTGGATAATACTTTTTTTTGTCTACACACGCCGATTTCTTGGTACAATGCGTGTTATTACGCGATGACGTAATTAATAACAAGTGGTTTTTATATATAATCGTGGAGTTTCTTCCTGTTAGTACTGTGGCCTGACTAATATTTATTTTATGTCGATCGTAGGTGTAAGTTTGATTAGTCTATTGATAAATAAGTTTTGAATAAAACATTCTCTGAGTATGAATAATAGTAGCAAACATGATATAAAAGGTAGTACGTTATGCGTGTGAGGGTATGAAAGTGCATTAGCGTGTACGTGGTGTGCTATAGCTTATACATACATAGTCGTACTAACATCCACATTACAGCAACAACCGTTTCGACAAAGGGCGCATGTTAATTAATATCTTCAGCATAAACAAACAGACAAAAAGAACGGCGGAGCTCATCGGCTGTCGTCATTTGGAAATACCCCTGATTGTTATAGTTTTTAAAAAAAGTACCCATGCAGTGAAAGCATTTTCGGATTTCGGATTGCGTCGATAATACGATTACTACTCCCTTGTTGTCATCCACGTTTTCTGGTATAACCCCACACTTATGTATTTGTCGTCATTCACTTGATGCTCAGTTAATGAATTTATTACAGGTATAATTAGTGGTAGCACCACTCCGAATACCTGACGAAGGTTCCCATTTGGCATTTATTGTGTCTGGGGTAATTATTCAATCTAAATCCAGGTTTGAAGTGAGGTCAAATGTGTGTTATGTAATATGCACGTGGCAGCCCAGTAAGAGCTGAATGATCAGTTGATTTACTTTTTTTGTAAATCAGCGGATTGTTCGTAGTCATCAAAGGATTAACAGAAATTGTTCCTAACATTTGAACAAGATTTGTTCGATTTTCATTAAAAAGCGAAAGTAGAACGTAAATACGTACAAACCAATGTCATAACTGATCACTGTTATAGCACGGGTAACATATAAATATGAACAATGAAGCACTTCATTAATCAACATACACGTTTGTCCACCAGCGTAGAACACATCCTGGTAGAAACATGGGTGGTTGTTTGATTTATGGCACATGTTGTGATGGGTCGATACACAGAGGTGGATTTCATCAGCAGTATACCCGCACGTTCAGCACAAGGGAAGACAACTCCTGCAACCCTCGCCATCATTCGTCACCACTCGCCGCATTCCGTAACCTGCAAGAAGCGGCTTGTCCCGGAATAACACGAGTTGGTCACGAATGCCTCGCCATTAGCTGTACTTTGTAAACAAGTGGAATCTTGCCAACGCGAAGAGACTGTTTCACTAAAAGTGTTATTGTTGCATACATGTCCTTCAAGACAGAAAATCACACATGTAATCAGAACTATTACTTTGACTTCAACATCCTGCTGAAGAAACCGTCACCATTCGTTCCATTCCGGAAAACAAAAGCCGTTAAGAAATGAACAGAAATGGTCGATTGAGATGTTTCTTGATGTCCTATGGCTTGCGTCAGATGTTTTATGGCTTCATGTCATTCACAGTCCATTTCATCGTCTGGCATTCCATATCAGACGATCTAGTTCAATCCAGTTCAATCCAGTTCAATCCAGTTCAATCTGGTTCATTCAAGCAATAACTGGTCTAGTCTAGCAATAACTGGTTCTGACAAGGCACTACAGCTGTGTTCTGGACCGAGATTGGACATGACCACAACACTTGCTCTTAAAGGGAGACTCTGCTTGGGTCATCTAGCAGTCCTAGCTAATAGGATGGTATCATTTAGAACCCACTTTGCTTGTCTGTAAACTCAACTTTTGAAATGTATCAGTTAATGCTTCCCCGGGAAAATACGGGGTTAAAATCTACCAATCTATCAACCTATGCATGTCGCGAGAGGAGACTAACGGGATCGGGAGGTCAGGCTCGCTGACTTGGTTGATGCACGACATCGTAGCCTTAATGCGTAGATCGACGCTCATTATTTCAATCAACGGACCGTTTGATCCATACTCGATTATTTACAGACCGACTTTATATAGCTGAAATATTTGGAGTGAGGCATTAAACAACAAACAGTAATGATTCAGTGATTATATCATGACCATGATTTAGTTTGACTAATCACTTATCACAACGTCTTGGCCTCGCTAGCAACTGTGAGGATCGTCTCCCTTTAACTAAGCCGTCGCTACAAACATGTCCGTGCCTGCTGAGGGCCTCGGTCCTCTAAGCGACCGTTGCGTTAAGATTATTGTAACTCCCATATCTTTCAAACAGACTTACGACGGTCGCAGCACTATAAAATTGTCGTAACTCCCATATTTTAACATAGCACTAAGACGACCGTGGCTCCCATATTTTAACACAGATTTACGACTGTCGTAGCGGTAAGGTGATCTTAACTCCATATTTTAACACAGACTTACGACTGTCTAGCACTAAGGTGATCTTAACTCCATATTTTAACACAGACTTACGACTGTCGTAGCGCTAAGGTGATCGTAAATCCCATATTTTAACACAGTCTTACGACTGTCGTAGCGCTAAGGTGATCGTAACTCCATATTTTAACACAGACTTACGACTGTCTAGCACTAAGGTGATCTTAACTCCCATATTTTAACACAGACTTACGACTGTCGTAGCGCTAAGGTGATCGTAACTCCATATTTTAACACAGACTTACGACTGTCTAGCACTAAGGTGATCGTAACTCCCATATTTTAACACAGACTTACGACTGTCGTAGCGCTAAGGTGATCGTAAATCCCATATTTTAACACAGTCTTACGACTGTCGTAGCGCTAAGGTGATCTTAACTCCATATTTTAACACAGATTTACGACTGTCTAGCACTAAGGTGATCGTAACTCCATATTTTAACACAGACTTACGACTGTCGTAGCGCTAAGGTGATCGTAACTCCATATTTTAACACAGACTTACGACTGTCGTAGCGCTAAGGTGATCGTAACTCCATATTTTAACACAGACTTACGACTGTCGTAGCGCTAAGGTGATCGTAACTCCATATTTTAACACAGTCTTACGACTGTCGTAGCGCTAAGGTGATCGTAACTCCATATTTTAACACAGACTTACGACTGTCGTAGCGCTAAGGTGATCTTAACTCCATATTTTAACACAGACTTACGACTGTCGTAGCGCTAAGGTGATCGTAACTCCATATTTTAACACAGACTTACGACTGTCGTAGCGCTAAGGTGATCGTAACTCCCATATTTTAACACAGACTTACGACTGTCGTAGCGCTGCGATCGCTTTGTGGAACGGGGACAAGTACTAAATTCCAAGAAGATCCATATTCAGAGATATTCTACAGACAGTATTATGTCTGCTTGATCATTAACAGAACACTTGCAAGGCACTCAGTGAACTGTCATTGCTTGAGCTGAAAGGTGTTTTTGAAAACCATTTGATGCGCAGATCCTGCAGACAGTATCCCAGTCAGACTGAACATCCATACTGCCACATGTACCAAGTAATATGGTGTTGATGAAGTCACGTGTCACGTTTTCGTCTCCGTGTTTATATTCCTCCATATTCCTATATAAATGATGTATCCTAACAACAAAATCACTGCCCCAGCAACGACCCAGCACAGCGAGCGGTAGAACTTGCGGCGACAGGCACTCTGGTGATAGGGCTGGATGTTGATTTGATTCTGGAAATTGAAAGATAAGATCAAGCTCCTCTACATCGCCAAAACATGGGCTATATCTTTGCATCTATCTACTCTTGTACTTAATCCCTGCATGTGTCATCTGAACAAAACTAACAGTGTTTGCATGCATACTGCTACAGAGCTACAGATAAACAGTGTATTTGCGTAAAATTCACCCCCCCCCCCCCCCCCCCCCCCCAAAAAAAATTTTAAAAAAAAAATTAAAATTTAAAAAAATATTCAAAACCCAATCACTTTCAATTAACTTGCGTACAGAAACCCATGCATTAAATGAAAACCTCAAATGTATAAAACCAGCTCGTGTAAATTCCCAATGAAGCTTTTTCAGCATGCGTACAACGGAGCTAATTTCCGAAACACAATTACGAGGTAATTTACTTTCCGAGTCAACCATATATATTTAGAACAGTTATATACATCTAAAACATTTTTTCTTTTTTATATATCTTAAAATGTTCACTAATTTTTTTGAAAACCCAAAAGAGTGATGAATAGATGAGTGAAAAAATGTTGGTTACCCAATGAAAAATGTAATAAACCAATTAGAATAGGAACCCTAGAGTAAAAACTTAATTGCTCAAAAAGTTATCTGGAGCTCTGCTACTTGTATATAATGTCCATAAAAAATTAATAATTTAATAAAAATATAAAATTGATTATAATGCCGCCAATGCTTGTCATTACTGCACTACATATGACACAATGTTAAAATAGAACGTGAGTGAGTGAGTTGGGTTTAACGCCGCTTTGAACAGTATTTCAGTTATATCACGACGTCTCAGCTTAATGTGGGAGGAAAGCCCGAAGTAATGCAGGTATTAGGCGTTTACTACTTTAGTGAAAGCCAAGAGCACAGTATACTGCCGATAACCAAATGTGTCAAATATAATCAGGGCCCACGTCATAATTTAAGATACTGTCACGCCCAAGGGACGCAACTCCGCACAACGTATTCCGGCGCTTGATAGGACCGGGTCACCCGGGTCCCAACAAGACATTGTGTTTTCATATTCACATTACTGAATTGAGTCAATTGGAATGCTATTACACAGTTTCCGGATTATCGGGGTTTTGTTTACAGATGTTCTCAGAGTACGTCAAGATCGGTTGACGGTCTCACCGGCGTGTAAGTAGGGGCCACCACGTTGGGAGGAACATGCGGGTTGACGTCATGCTCCAGATGATCAACTCTCGGATGCGTTAAGGCTTGTTCATATGAAGGGGGCTCGCCTGAGCTCTTGACAGCGTCTTCATACGACGGTAACGTGAAGATGGTGAAAACCTGCGGTGTAGTGGGACCGGAAGTAGTAGTACCGGATGTCATTTTCTGGAGCAGAGAAGAATGAGTGACTGAGATGATATTATTGATTACAACCATCTCATAAATATAAAACGTCGGCGCCAAAACAAATATGGATCAGTCTTGATAATCCATTGGGTGTAAAAGACAAAATAGCGTGAAAATAATACTGACTGACTGACTGAGTATGGTTTTACGCCGCTTTTAGCAATATCCCAGCAATATCACGGCGGGGGACACCAGAAATGGGCTTCACACATTGTACCCATGTCGGGAATCGAACCCGGGTCTTCGGCGTGACGAGCGAACGCTTTAACCACTAGGCTACCCGACCGCCCCTGAAAATAATATGAATGGCCAACAGAATAGAATGATAATACATTATCACAGGAACTCGTTATTGGTCAGTATATAAAAATATATACCCCCTATTTCTCTACTTACATATAGGGGGTATATATTTTTATTTGCTGACCAATAACGAGTTCCTGTGTACATTATGCAGCGCTTCATATGCTCAGAGGCGCTTGGTCGACGCTTCTTTTCAAGAAAAATAATTTCATTTGCATCCTGAAATATTGTTTGTGCCATTGATGTGTTGCTCATCATGTGTTTTCGGGTTCAATGTTTCAATTTACAACGTACTGTTAACGGTCACTTTGGTAGCATTAATCGATATTTTGTAATCGAAATTTCTAGTTATTTCAATTACTTCATCGTTCTTTCGATTTTTACTCGTCATTTCGATTATTTTCTCGTTATTTCAAGTTTATTTCAAAACCTCGAAATTTCAAGTGTATTTTCGTTATTTCACTTTTTTTCGAAATTTCGAAATTTAGTCTATGAGAAAATAATGAGAAAATAATCGAAATCACGAGAGAATAATCGGAGTAACGAGAGAAAACTCTAAGCAACGAGGAAATAATTGAAATAACGAGTAATTAATTGAAGTGACGAGAACAAAATCGAAGCAACGAGTAATGACATAACCAGTAATTTTGTTGTGATATCAACTTGCAATAACGAGCAAATAACCGAAATTACGAGAAAAAGCTCAAAGTAACGAGAAAATAAATGAAATTAGGAAAATATATTAAAAGTAAGGAGAAAAAATAATCGGAATTTTGAGAAATTATGTATATGCTACCAAAGTGGCACCAGCCGCAATTTTTCTGAAGTAATCGAATTATAGGTTCATACATTCCTATTAGTACATATACTGGATTGTCTGGTCCAGACTCGAATGTTTACAGACCGTCGTCATATAGCTGGAGTGCGGCGTTAAACAACAAACAAACAAACTTAAGACATGTTCTTTTATAGTTAACAGTTTCATAAAACCTATTTTGTTTTTGTTTGTTGTATACCAGCTGTATGACCGCGGTCTGTAACTACTCCAATCTGGAAAACACAGTCCGGTGATTGACATCATGAGCATCAAAACATTCATGATCCAGTTGAACAGTGTCTCCACAATTTGTGTTTCACGATTATCTCCAAGAATGCTTTTAAGCAGTATTCTCTAAAAAAATTATGATATGTAAGACACTTTGACCTAATGTTTATAGTTATGATCTTGTGTAAATAATAATAATAAAAAAGGACACAAACGTGTACAGAAAGGTCTGACCACATGATATAAATATATTGCGTATGTAGACATGTGGCGACATTGTTTATTAAACAGTATACATACGTGTGAAAGTTGAGAGACGATATTGCGTAAATATTATAGCATGATGGAGATGAATGCCTTCAAAGGTTTGATGATTGATCATGAATAATATATCAATATTCAGATACTGTACAGAAATGCTTGTTGAGTGAGTGAGTTTCAACATCGTTTTGGCCAATATTTGAGTTTTTTCAAGGCGTATCAGTTCGTATCAGTTTGAAGTTGGACGGACATCGGAAGTATCTCAGACGTTAATCACTTGGTAAAACCTTCGAGCACGAGTTACTGATGTGCTTCACTTCACTTCATGTCCCTTCGCTTCGCTTCGCCTCACCTCACCTCACCTCACCTCAATCCGGTATTATTATCAACATCAGTAATGAGCACAAGCATGGGTATGGTGCTGAAACTTACAAATATAATGGTGCGAAAAGGGATTCGAACGGGCCATAATAATTTAGGAACAGTGCAACGGGCCTTAATGATTTAGGAACAGTACAACGGGCCTTAATAATTTAGGAACAGTACAACGGGCCTTAATGATTTAGGAACAGTACAACGGGCCTTAATAATTTAGGAACAGTACAATGGACCTTAATAATTTAGGAACAGTACAATGGGCCTTAATGATTTAGGAACAGTACAACGGGCCTTTATGATTTAGGAACAGTACAACGGGCCTAAATGATTTAGGAACAGAACAGCGGGCCTTCATGATTTAGGAACAGTGCAATGGGCCTTCATGATTTAGGAACAGTACAACGGGCCTTCATGATTAAGGAACAGTACAACGAGCCTAAATGATTGATGAACAGTGCAACGGGCCTTAATGATTTAGGAACAGTACAACGGGCCTTAATGATTTAGGAACAGTACAACGGGCCTTAATGATTTAGGAACAGTACAACGGGCCTTAATGATTTAGGAACAGTACAACGGGCCTTAATAATTTAGGAACAGACATACGCCAAGTGTTACATATCATATCAACAGAAAACATCAGAAAATCATCAAATGAAAATGCCATACCTGACAAGCATTTGTTTCCCAATTGCTGATATTAAAAGTCTAATATCACGATGACTCGCCCGGGTATGGAGGCAGGTATTACGTGTATCTCAATGAGCTCTATTGATTTCATTTTCAAGAGCCTCATGAATCATATAGATTGTCAAAGCAGGTCAAGCATCAACGACTTTAAGTGTCATGGGCAGGCAAGGGTATCTTTTATAACACCAACAACACCGTGAATGAAAGGACTATCAATCTGTCTGTCTGCCTCTTCACTTGTCAAGAAACGAACATAATATTATGTAAACAAACTGTGTAAGTACGAAATATATCCATATGCGAACTCTTAAATTCCTAATGGATTAAACATCTCAATCCTCCTCGAAATAAAATAGTTTTCTGTACCTACTCTGATCCATTAGGAAATTTCGCAGCATCCGAAATATGAAAAAATCACATGTGTTTCCAATGAATTATATACGTTTTATTGTTCAGAAGGCGAAGTCTAACAGGCCTGCCACGTGTTATGAACTGTAACTCGACTCGAAATGTAATATTAACTGGGGCTGGAGTTCACAAACAACAACCGTCACAACAATGACAGATCTTGTCAATAGTAGTAACGAGGTCAACACTGAATAATGAGTTCTCTGAATACATGATGTACTACGGCAGAATATGTGCGTGTGGAAATCATATAAATCTGTTGATATAATGTCGCTACAAGGTCATGGCAACTGGATATCATACACAAAATATAGCAGACACGGAAATGCGACGCAGATGTTTTGCATCGTCAAACGCCAGAATACTGACAATGCATTCGTCATCACGTTTCACAAAATGTTGTTTACATCAGGCTACGAATAATTAGTACTGGTGATAATGCAAGTCACGAGTGAGAACATGTGACACACGAACTCACCACTTAGCGTGTCGGAGGTGTCGCTTCTAACTTCCTTCTATCAATAGGTGTACGACGCGGGGGTGTCATCCGTCCTTATCTTTCTAGCCATAGGTCCTACATTTTCGATGCCTCATCGGACGGCGACGTCTGTGACGGTGTGTCTCGCCACAGATACCGGGGACGACACGGATACTAGTCACAGATGTGGCAAGTCTCCTACAGCCGGCAGACGAGTCAATACTTATGGATTTATCTGGAGCAAGCAGTCGCTGCTACTGTATTTATACCCTGTCTCGTGAGTCACGTGTGATCAGCGACCGTGAACAGACGTAGTGTTGTATTCAAAATTTGTTTACCCCGTCTATTTATACGATGTTCTTGATTTTTCTAGTGACACTTAGGGACCGACTGTTTATTATTTAGGCCCCCCTGGGAGTTTTGTGTTAGATAACATATTTTTTCTTTCAGCCATCGCGATGCAAGACATAAATGCTTGTCTTTGGAACAAAAAGACCCAAACATCGTTTTGAACCCACAACACATTATTTTCCAAAACATACAGTATGTCAGATGAACATTTTATTTTTTAAAACTTGGGAAAAATCCGTATCAGCGCATACACAATTTAATATGATATGTAATATTTACCAACTGATTTGTTTGTGCTATTTCCATAGATAGCAGCACGTTCATATTGATTCTGGCATAACCCGTACATTACTGCTCATATTTAAACCGTTGGTTGCTAGGATTTAAAAATGTGTTGTTATCAAACTGGTCGATATCAACACAAGGAACAATGGTTTTAGAATCCTGCAACCGTAACTCCTTGTCGAAACCTTGTCTTTGACGACAATACATTGATCACCAGTAATTGTTTCCCAGCAATGCCCGGGTCTGCGGGCAATGACTTACTTCGCCTTCTATGTCATTTGAATCAATTATGTAAAGATGCGAGACTAAATCAATTATGTAAAGATGCGAGACTAAACTACTTGTCCCCAAACACGCTTGACGGAGTAATCATAAAGGTGAGTGTGTGTGTGCGGTTTTATGCCGCAAGTGGAACATTGATATGTTCATAATTAACATATGTATGTCGATAATTAGGTTAATAGTACTTTAGCGTATGGCTACAGAGCCTTCTGACTCACTGAAAGCAAATATGTGTGTATGAGTATTTTTGTTTGTTAGTTTGATTGATTGATTGATTGATTGATTGATTGATTGATTGATTGAGAGAGAGAGAGAGAGAGAGAGAGAGTGTGTGTGTGTGTGTGTGTGTGTGTGTGTGTGTGTGTGTGTGTGTGTGTGTGTGTGTGTGTGTCGGTATGTGTCGGTATGTGTCGGTGTGTGTGTGTGTAGTCATGCAAGTTTGAAGAAGCCATATCGTTCTCCTCCTAGGTCTGGTGTCCCCCGCCGTGATATTGCTGGAATATTGCTAAAAGCGGCGTAAAACCATACTCACTCACTCACTCTCCTCCTAAGTATCTACTCCTAAGTATTCGTTGAACTGTAAAATAGAATTTTTCTTAGACTCTGCATGTTTTGAATTTAGAAACGTAATACAGAAGTAAGGCCAAATCTGTCCATGAAAGTGATTTAGTGAACCGTTTTCTAATATTTGATCCTGTCAATGACCCACGCTGAATTTCCCAGGATATATGTTAAGACATTACAAACCATCATGGATCATGAACACGCATGGCCATAATTAAAATTTCTACAGAAATTCGAAACATCATCTTTCTCACTAACTTTATTACTCAATATGTGTAAGTAATGGAATGAATAATGTCTGGCTGCCAGTCTGCAACTGAAGAGTTCATTAAAGATTTTAAGACGTTTATGTAAAATTGAACTTTCCCTTTTCAGCATGTCAGAAAGACCCTAAACAAACCCCGTCCTGTAGATGGAAAACTGTATCAAACTTCATGTATGCACAATATTCCTTGTGAGAGGGTGAGCTGGGTTTAACATCGCTTTGAACAGCTATATCACAGCGTGTCAACTTTATGTGGGAGGAAAGCCCGAAGTGATGCAGGTCTCGGAGATTTACCACTTTCATGAAAACCCACGAGCATGGGTATGGTGCTGACAAACCTATAAGCTGACACGCCGTGATATAACTGGAATACTGTTAAAAGTGGTGTTGAACACAACTCACTCACTCACTCCCTCTCACCTCCCTACTCACTGGCAAAATTGTGTGAATGCGGGTTCTACCGGTAGTGCAGGACATGCTTACCCTTTTTGCGAACACCTGGTGTCATCCCTATTTTGCCTATACGCCCAATGGACTCCGCGGGAGAGCGAGAGAGAGAGAGGGGGGAGAGAGCGAGAGAGAGAGGGAGGGGAAGGAGAGCGAGAGAGAGAGAGGGGGAGAGTGAGAGAGAGAGAGAGAGAGAGTTTATCACTGTCCATTCCCATTCCGGGAGAGAGAGGGGGAGGGAGAGAGAGAGGGGAGGGAGAGAGAGGGGGCGAGAGAGAGAGGGAGGGGAAGGAGAGCGAGAGAGAGAGAGGAGGGAGAGGGAGAGAGCGAGAGAGAGAGAGAGGAAGAGAGAGAGCGAGAGAGAGAGTTTACCACTGCCCATTCCAATATTCCGGAACGAGCCGAATGTACATTCGTGCCACTCTCGAAGGATTCCATTTTGGCAGATCAACACTAGATCAACTTCAAACAATAACGATAACTCTTATTCTACCCGCCTCTCAAAGTGAAATTAATAAAAGCCTTACCTACAGCAGCGCCCCCTTATTCCTGTTGTAAGATTATCGGACCTCACTGATATAAATATATTCTTTTGCACAACAGTATATTTGGTAAGTCATTCAACTCGTTCATTCCCAGCTGTTCATCTTTTAATTGCAAATTATTTTTTTGTAAATAAGTTATCAAAATTAGATGAAGAAAACTGACAAGAAGAGGGTGGTTCTCGGATTTTAGTAATTTCAACATTGCATTTCTCACATATTTAGTTAAGTGTGGTAAATTTGATATTGCCTTTTCAATGCATAAACCGACAACTTTTCAGACTCATTTATTTCATGACTGAATCTGTTCTTTCATGGACAGCGTTTACAAACAGTACACACATTTTATATGAATTAATGACAATAAAAATATGGATATGAAGGAATGTTTATCGAAGTACCCATATCCTGATTGGCTTGCGCCGTTTCGACGCATGGCGGCCTTCGAGAAGGGGGCGAGCCTTGTTGTAGGTTACGGAAACATGCGAGTGGTGCCGAATGTGTCCATCCAGCTGTCAAGGGGACATAACTCAATAAAAACAACTACTGAGTTAACTTGTAAATGACGAATCCAATCGCCATTACGATGACGCATCCTACGATCGGACAGAGCGAGCGGTAGACACTCCTGCGACAGTCCCCACGGCGGTTTTGGGGTCGATTTACTGGGTTCTGAAAAAAACGTCATTATATCAGAAACAATGCCATCAATAATAACTAAACTGCCAAAAGAAAGAAAAGCTTAAACGAAAGCTTACATCCTCAAATGATTGTTTGATGGCGATGTATTCGATACGGGTATCATAGTTGTGTTTTTGACCTAATGTTTGCAGTATGTCGGGGATAACGTTTTGATAATGTTTTGTAATGTTTTTGTCAATTCTCGTTTACAAGTGTATGCATTCTCTTGCAGGTAAGTTGACTACATTTAGAAAAAAATTCTGAGGTTTTTTTAAATTTCACCTGAAATGATAACAAGAAATAGGATGGTTTGGCTTGAAGGTTTGGATCGCTTCTGTGGTGTAGCGGGTATAGCGAGTGCCCGGGGAACGGAGGGTCTGTGTTTCGATCCCAGGCCGCGTCATACCATACGTTGGTGCAATGGTACTTGTTATCCTGCCTGGCGCTCGGCAATTAGGGTATAAATCAAGGACTGTCTTTTGTGGTTCTTTGTTTCGTTCGTTCGTTCGTTCGTTCGTTCGTTCGTTCGTTCGTTCGTTCGTTCGTTCGTAAACTGTGTCTGATAATAAGTGGCATATCCATGTTATCTCAGTGGGCTAGCACTATGTAACTGATACTAGTACGGGCCAGTATAAGCAGCCACACACACACACACACACACACAAACGCACACGCACACGCGCACACACACACACACACACACACACACACATACAGACATACACACACACGCTCAAACACACAAACATACACAAACACACACAAAAAACCCACAAAAACACATATACACAAACACACACACACACACACACACACACACACACACACACACACACACACACACACACACACACACACAAACACACACAAACACTACAATCATTTATGTACTCTGTAAGAAAAGAAACGCAAAAGTAGTATAATCGTAAATACCTGACATAGTGTTGAAGACATCCATACAAAATTAATACCAAAATAAATTGATCATTTCTGCATGGATTGGGACTGATTTCTGTGGAAAGAATGACATACTGCAGAAATTTGGTGAAAAGATTCGAAAAAATCGCAAAACACAACCTCGTGAGAGCCTAGCGCCGAAACACACCAACATGACACGCACGTGCAACATCACTTGTTGGGCTATGAAAACGTTGGTTTGTCATTTGTGTAGCGGCCATAAAATTTCCAAGTCCCGTGATGGGATTCGAACCACGGACCTTCTGATCAGAGGTCGGACGCCTTGTCCACATGACCAAAGAGGTTAACCCCGTGAGCAAGCTGACAAGGTAAGGATGTCTTCTGTGGGATGACTCCACGCCCTGCTACATACTCCCCCGTCAACAGAAGGCACGTCCCGGGCCGCATAGAAGGGTACCGAGCCTTATTTTGCTCAAATGTAATATGAACGTGCTCAGCCCCACGTTGGGCGCCAATGTAGCAGCCATAAAATTTCCGAGTCCCGTGATTGGATTCTTCTGATCAGAGGTCGGACGCCTTGTCCACGTTACCAAAGAGGTTAACCCCGTCAGCAAGCTGGCAAGGTAAGGATGTCATCTGTGGGATGACTCCACGCCCTGCTACATTTGCATGCCATCACAATCTAACAGCAAGTAAACAGCGAAAATATGCCACGACTGACGGCAGACCAACGCAACATTGCCATCGGCCGACTGCAAACAAGAGAATCATTTTCAGGTTTTCCCAAGCACTATTACACACGGGACAACACGTGACCTTCCCAGGTCCGGTTAACCATGTATCACTACTAGAGCATAGGACAGGTTCATACAGCTACGTCACTTACGTAAAAGAACCAGCACGGCCACCTCTACAACTACGGCAATACCAGGATGCTTG